ATCATCTACAAGTCAGTGATTTTCAGTTGCCACGTTTGATTACCAGACAGTAGCCGGCTTGAAACCTTGCCCAATGTGCCGGCTTGCCACGGGCCTCTTGGTTTCAACGCAAAAGTACTTGATCACCAACATGACTGCCTACAGGAAGAAACTCTGCAGCACTGTTTGGGGAAAAGGAGAATACTGCAATAAACATGGCAATATAGCCATATTAGCCATTCAACAGGGAAACGTAGCTTTCGAAGCATCATATTCTGATCCGAACAATTTGAAGCTTAAACAGTCTGACTGGGCGCTCTCCTGGGACTCCTGACCAAAAAAAAGATCAGTCCCGTGACCAAAAATTGAAGCCACAAGCCAACCACTCATTTGGGTATCGATGCCACCATGGTCAAGCTGGGTGGTGTTAAATATTTTAAGGGGGAAGGGATCATAAATATTTCTAAATGTTTAATGTATACTTACTAAAAGTTACCCTTGTTACCCACAACAAATAGTTCTAAATTGCTCATATATACAGTATATACAAGATAATCAATTGATAACGGTTGGTTAGTTGCAAACCATTATATCCAAATCCATATCAAATCAACATATTTGAGGGTTGCAGTGGCACTTGGCGCCACAATGACTTGAGGCTTGGGCCATCCCATACAAAGATTCAGGCATCATAATTTCAAGGAAACAACAACAAAGATCACGACCCTAAGGCAAACTAACCAATCTAACCTAGAGACAAGGACAAATCAGGAAAAATATTGAAAAATAATAGTTTCCACGTGCTTTCCCCAGCAATTCATCTATTTAGAATGTCAACCCTGGATTAATAAACCCCAAACGGCTGTTTAATTGGGAGGGTACCAAAAAAAAAATCAGATGAAATGACTATTGGAGGAGTACCCCCCTAATTTTAATAAACCATAGTTTATTAATCCGGGGTTGACATTAATCACCATTAATCACCATTAATCACCATTAGTCACCATTAATCACCATTAATCACCATTCATGGGTGGATTTTGCATCTCACCCACGCGCTGACCCGGTCATCGCTCCATTGAGAGAGGTTGTCGGCCATCGATGGGGACTCCTGACGTTTTTGCGTTTTTGGACCCCGTGGTTTGTTTCAAAGAAAACGGCCATAACATGGTTAGAAAAGAAAAAATAATGTCAATGTTATGTGTATATATATATATAATATGATGTTATATACTATATATGTCTATATATTATATGTAATTATATACACATACGTATGTAAATTTGGGGTTGTTTCATTTGGGGGGTACACTGTCTAAAAAAATCTGTGTTTTGATGTGATTTTTGGACATGGAGATTCACCCTCCCAAAGGCGCCGCCCCGAGATGGGATCTGTGGGGATGACAGCAATATAGTTTGATCACGTGTGTTACCCTCTAGTAAACTAACAGTTTGCGAACTGGAAAATGACCATAGAAACAGTTGATTTACCCATTGATAGCATGGTGATTTTCCATAGTTATGTTAGTTTACCAGAGGGTAGTATACCGTATACTACATAACAAATATATACAAATATATGAGAATACAGTAATATGGAGGTTTCCGTTTTGTCATGGGGGTACCCCCAAATCATCCATGTTTCAGGAAACCTCCATCTCTTTCTGTGAAACGGCATGTTTGGGAGCAAAAGGTGTGCCAACCGAATGGTCAGAACAGTTGCAGTTGAGGCCTTGCTATGCAACTAGGAGGAACGTGAAAAAATGGTTGAGACCACTTAGCAATCGCATGACCCGTCAACATTTAGGTACCACACGATAACCCAATAACAAACAACCCCCAGCAAACAACCACTTGGGAGTCATTTCACCCAAGAAATCCCAAGATTAAACACCAATTGGAGATGGCTGGTTCATCGGATTTGACGCTTATATTTCGATTTGTTTGCTAAATAGAAACTATAGCATCACATTTCCTTGGTTGAACGCTGTTTTACATCCCTCTATCAGTACTATGATTTGTATCTATACACACAAATACGCACAAATACATACATACATACACTACATTACATTACATTACATTACATTAGATTACGCTACATTACGCTACATTACACCACATTACACTACATTACACTACATTACACTACATTACACTACATTACACTGCATTACACTACATTACATTGCATTACATTGCATTGCATTACATTACATTGCAGTACATACATACATTTAGTATACATGCATATATATATATAGACATTCCATTCCATTCCATTCCGTTCCGTTCCGTTCCATTCCATTCCATTCCATTCCCCAACAAAATCCTATCGTCAATATAAACAAATGTATTGCCATGTATTACTTGTACTGATATTATTCTGGGTAAATTACATTAATTCACTAACCTGATATACGGCCATCTTGGGGATGATTTCCCTTACTAACTATGATTATAGTGAGGTCGCAGTGAGGTCATCATAATTCATCCAATTATTGTATTACGCTACATTCCATCAACCTATCTTGTGGCTGCCGTACAGATCCACCGGATCCTCGCGGTCCCAGCGCAAGGTCTGGATCTGGGCGCGAAATCGCGGAGCGAAATCGGCGAAATAACCCCATGGTTCTTGGGACCCAGAACAAGGGGAAATGGCGGGTTTATGGTGGATATATGTAGGGTTTATAGTGGATATATATATATATACAGTTGGATGGCTTTGTAAACCAACTGACACATATCCTGCCAAATGGGGGGTCAAAAAATAAATATAATAAATATAACAAAGAATTGGCACTGAGCATATCATAATTATTATTATATATATATATCATTGGTAATTACCAATTATTACTATTAATCCCCAAACAACGTGGCCACACTGAGGGGTTCTTACGGAAACAGTTAAGGCCCGGTGTTCAATCGAGGTGGTATCATCCGTATCCGGCCAATCCCCTGTTAAAAAAACCACACAAAATGGCCCTTGTGAAATGTCCATGTGCATGTCGACTGCGCAGGCTCGCACGAAACGATGTTTCCGGAGGTGTCTGCGGTCATTTTTCCTGTAAATTTCCTTACAAAATGGCTCTTGTGAAATGTCCGTCTGCATTTCGACTGCGCAGGCTCGCACAAAGTGTGCTTCCCGGTCTTGGGATCGGCCTTCCTCCTCAACATCCTCCTCCTCAACATCATCATCTTCCTCCTCCCCAACATCAACAGAATCATCCTCTCCTCCTTCTCCTCCTCCTCCTCCTCCTCAACATCACCATCGCCATCACCATCATCGCCATCGCCATCATCACCATCACCATCACCATCATCACCATCACCATCACCATCACCATCACCATCATCACCATCACCACCACCACCATCATCATCATCATCATCACCATCCACATCCTCATCCTCCTCCTCCTCCTCATCATCATCATCATCATCACCATCACCATCATCACCATCACCACCATCATCACCATCACCATCACCATCATGATCATCATCATCAACATAATCATCATTATCCTTCACCATCACCACCACCACCATCATCATCATCAACAACATAATAATCATTATCCTTCAACATCATCATCACCACCACCACCGTCATCGTCATCATCATCATCATCATCATTTTCAACATAATCATCATTGTCATTCATCATCATCACCACCACCATCATCATCATCATCCTCCTCATCATCATCCTCATCCTCATCCTCATGATCATCCTCATCACCATCATCATCATCAACATCATCATCAACATTATAATACATTATCATCTTACTCCGCCCACACTGTTTATATTTTTTGATATTCATGGTATATTCATAATGTAATGGGGCGGTGTCGTACCACTTATTATCATTGGTATACTATCAGTTGGCAATTTGTGTAACACTGGCTAATCACAATCATAATATAGTGTCAATCATAGCAAAAAAGCAAAGTAAAACAATAGTGATGATAAGAATAACCATAATGAACATTGTAACAACAAAATGCAACAAAAGGATTTGTGGACCAATATCTTTCAGTGCTGGACAATTTGGGGCACCAAAAATGTGCATGGAAGTTGTCCTGGATGTGCCGTACTATGTCACTATGTAATGATAAATCACAAAATACAGTAATAATATGTAATGATGTACCAAAAAGATAAAACCGCGGGAAGCTTGGACTATTTATTGAATATCATATATATATATATATAAAACATCCTTGAAACACTTTTCTATCTTTTTTGGGATGGCTATATATAAACAACAGAATGGATGACTGTACGATACAAAGCCTAAAGCACCTGAACCAGCCGATTCATATTCTGGTATTGTTTATAGCCATCCCCAAAAGAATAATGTTTCCAGGAGATTATAGATGATATTTACAGTAATAGATATTTCCAGCTGTTCCACTTTTCTAACTTTTCTATCTGGGGCTGAAGTGGGCCTTTTTGTCACCCACAAAAAACGACCTGGGAAATTCGACCCACCTGGGATCACTTGATCAACCCCCAACATCCGAGCGTCCGTATATAATGTGGGTAAAGCAATGCCAAAAAGGCACCATCCCCTAGGAAAACCATCATTTTTATAGATGGTATATATAACTTATAACCATTCCCAGTCATGGCTGGCAAAAATGAGATTGTCTTACCCACATTCCGAAAAAGAGCAAACAATGTATCTGCAATGTCTCAGAATCAAACCTTTACCCTCTGGTAAACGTTTACATAGCTATGGACAATCACCATCTTTAAGTTTGGTAAATCAACTATTTCTATGGGTCATTTTCAAGTTCGCAAACTGTAACAAATTTCCAGAGGGTATAACCATCATTAACCATCATTAACCATCATTGACCATCATTGACCATATATTAACCATCATCAACCATCATTATATAATCATATTTCAGGTGAATTTTCAACCTTTGATCCCAAGCCTTCATAGCCCGCCATGGCCAACCTGCTCCGATGCTCCAACCGGTCCTCAGCCCCCCACGCTGTAGCCCCTCGACAGGACCATCAGCACCGTCAGGCTCGGATCCGAGAGATCGAAGTGCGGCGCACCGCCGTACTGCGGGATGTGGTTCCTGGGCCGTCGGGTCGTCCAGGAGGAAATTAGCCTATGGAAAACCATGGGAAAATGGCCCATTTATAGATGATAAACATGATGATATGAGCCATGGTCAATACTCACTATATGGTTTCGGGGAATCATCCTAACATGACTGACAATGTACAAAGTGGGGCCCCCTAGATAGCTAAGTTGGTGCCAATAACTCCAATAACTATGGTTTATGGTACTTATAACTATAGTTATTGGGGCGAATCTAAACCAACAAACATAACGTTTGGGGGCCCCACATTGTATAATTCCCATGGGAAAATGGCCCATTTATAGATGATAAACATGATGATATGAGCCATGGTCAATACTCACTATATGGTTTCGGGGAATCATCCTAACATGACTGACAATGTACAAAGTGGGGCCCCCTAGATAGCTAAGTTGGTGCCAATAACTCCAATAACTATGGTTTATGGTACTTATAACTATAGTTATTGGGGCGAATCTAAACCAACAAACATAACGTTTGGGGGCCCCACATTGTATAATTCCCATGGGAAAATGGCCCATTTATAGATGATAAACATGATGATATGAGCCATGGTCAATACTCACTATATGGTTTCGGGGAATCATCCTAACATGACTGACAATGTACAAAGTGGGGCCCCCTAGATAGCTAAGTTGGTGCCAATAACTCCAATAACTATGGTTTATGGTACTATACTATAGTTATTGGGCGAATAATCTAAACCAACAAACATGAACGTTTGGGGGCCCCACATTGTATAATTCCCCATGGGAAAATGGCCCATTTATAGATGATAAACATGATAATGATCCATGGTCAAATACCACTATATGGTTTTCGGGAAATCATCCTAAACATGACTGACAAGTACAAAGTGGGGCCCCCTGATAGCTAAGATTGGTGCCAATAACTCCAATAACTAGGGTTTTATGGTACTTATAACTATAGTTTAATTGGGCGAATCTAAACCAACACCATAAAACGTTTGGGGGCCCCCACATTGTATAATTCCATTGGAAAATTGGCCCATTTCTATATGATAAACATGATATGAGCCATGGTCAATACGCACTATATGGTTTCGGAATCATCCTACCATGACTGCCAAGTACAAATTGGGCCCCCTAGATAGCAATTGGTGCAAAACTCAATAACTATGGTTTATGGTACTTATACTATAGTTATTGGGGCGAATATAAACCAACGAAACATAACGTTTGGGGCCCCACATTGTATAATTCCATGGGAAAATGGCCGCATTTATAGATGATGAACCATGATGAATATGAGCCGTGGGTCCCAATACTCACTATAATGTTTCGGGGATCATCCTAACTGACTGACAATGTTACAAAGTGGGGCCCCCTATATTAGCTACGTTGGGTGCCATAACTCGCAATACTCTATGGTTTATGGTACTATACCATAGTTATTGGGGCGAATCTAAACCAACAAACTAACGTTTGGGGGGCCCCACATTGTAATAATTCCCATGGGAAAATGGCCCCATTTAAGATGATAAACATGTGATATGAGCCATGGTCATACTCACTATATGGTTCGTGGAATCATCCTACATGACTGACGAATGTTACAAGTGTGGGCCCCCTAGATAGCTAGTTGGTGCCAAAACTCCAATAACTATGGTTTATGGTACTTATACTATAGTTATGGGGGCGAATCTAAACCAACAAACATAACGTTTGGGGCCCCACATTGTATAATTCCCATGGGAAAATAGGCCCATTTATAGATGATAAACATGATGATATTGAGCCATGGCAATACTCACTATATGGTTCGGGAAAATCATCCTAACTGACTGACAATGTACACAGTGGGGCCCCCTAGATAGCTAAGTTGGTGCAATAACTCCACTAACTATGGTTTATGGTACTTATAACGATAGTTATTGGGGCGAATCTAAACCAACAAACATACGTTGGGGGCCCCACATTGTATAATGCCCATGGGAAAATGGCCCATTATAGATGATAAACCTGATGATATGAGCCATGGTCATACTCACTATATGTTTCGGGGAATCATCCTACAAATGAAGACAACTTACAATGTAACAAATGGGCCCCCCAGATTCTAGTTGGTGCCAATACCTCCAAATAACTATGGTTTAGTCCTTATAATAACTATAGTTATTGGGGCGAATCTAAACCAACAAACATAACGTTTTGGGGCCCCACATGGTATAATTTCCCCATGGGAAAATGGCCCTTTATAGATGATAAAACATATGATATGAGCCATGGTCATCCTCACTATTGGTTTCGGGGAATCATCCTAATAACATGACTGACCTGTACAAAGTGGGCCCCCTAGATATTCTAGTGTTGCCATAAAACTCCAATAACTATGGTTTATTGGACTTATTACTATAGTTATTGGGGCGAAATCTAAACCACAAACATAACCGTTGGGCCCACATTGTATAATTCCCATGGAAAATGGCCCTTTAGATGATAAACATGATGATATGAGCATGGTCTATACTCACTATAATGGTTTCGGGGAATTCATCCTAACATGACTGACATGTAGCAAAGTGGGGCCCCCTAGTAGATCTAAGTTGGTGCCAATAACTCCAATAACGATGGTTTATGGTACTTATAACTATAGTTATTGGGGCGAATCTAAACCAACAAACATAACGTTTTGGGGGCCCACATTGTATAATTCCCATGGAAAATGGGCCCATTTATAGATGATAAACAGTGATGATATGAAGCCATGGTTCATACTCACTATATGGGTTCGGGAATCATATCTCCCCTAACATGACTGCAATTACAATTGGGGCCGCCTAGATAGCTAAGTTGGTGCATAACTCCAATAACTATGGGTTTATGGTACTTATAACTATAGTTATTGGGGGGCGAATCTAAACCAACAAACATAACGTTTGGGGCCCCACCTTGTATAATTTCCCTTGGGGAAAATGGCCCATTTATAGATGATAAACATGATGATATGAGCCATGGTCAATACTCACTATATGGTTTCGGGGAATCATCCTAACATGACTGACAATGTACAAAGTGGGGCCCCCTAGATAGCTAAGTTGGTGCCAATAACTCCAAGAACTATGGTTTATGGTACTTATAACTATAGTTATTGGGGCGAATCTAAACCAACAAACATAACGTTTGGGGGCCCCACATTGTATAATTCCCATGGGAAAATGGCCCATTTATAGATGATAAACATGATGATATGAGCCATGGTCAATACTCACTATATGGTTTCGGGGAATCATCCTAACATGACTGACAATGTACAAAGTGGGGCCCCCTAGATAGCTAAGTTGGTGCCAATAACTCCAATAACTATGGTTTATGGTACTTATAACTATAGTTATTGGGGCGAATCTAAACCAACAAACATAACGTTTGGGGGCCCCACATTGTATAATTCCCATGGGAAAATGGCCCATTTATAGATGATAAACATGATGATATGAGCCATGGTCAATACTCACTATATGGTTTCGGGGAATCATCCTAACATGACTGACAATGTACAAAGTGGGGCCCCCTAGATAGCTAAGTTGGTGCCAATAACTCCAATAACTATGGTTTATGGTACTTATAACTATAGTTATTGGGGCGAATCTAAACCAACAAACATAACGTTTGGGGGCCCCACATTGTATAATTCCCATGGGAAAATGGCCCATTTATAGATGATAAACATGATGATATGATATTACTGTCCAGTAAATTAACAGTTCGACCCTGCCAGTGGTATAGGGGTTGAAAGATGAATGTTTCCTCTAAAAAATGGTGATTTTCAGGGTCCAACAAGTTAATTTACCAGAGGATAAATCAAACACAGGTGTGGAAATATGGTGGAAATATGGTGGAAATAACTTTTTTTTGTTTAAATCGAACGCATGATGGAAATATGGTGGAAATAACATGTGTGGATCTAACCATCCAAAAATGGTAGAGACCCTTTGAGTTATCAAACGGCGACGGGTGAAGTGGGAACTCAACCACTTCACTTCAACGAGAAAGTCTCACATGGCTAAACGATGATGAATGACGATGATTTCATACAAAATTGTTTTTTTTTCCCACCAATCTGGGTAAATTAAAACATATTTCACGTTCACCTGAATAGTTCGGCCTAATCAATCCGGGGATGATTTCCGGAAGAAGAAAACCCATGGATTCCCGGCTTATCCGGCTTCGCTTCGGTCTGTATTCATTGGGTATAAACATGTATAAACCACCAAAAAAAAGGCCATCTGGTTGGTGGTGCAATAACCATCTTGAAAAATATGAAAGTCAGATTGGGATGATTGTTCCCATATATATCATATATGAAATGGAAAAATAAAAGTCATGTTCCAAACCACCAACCAGCCATTAGTACTGGGAAAAAACAAACAAGAACTGGATTTCAGGGTGTATGCGATTTTCAGACCCCATCACTGAATCAACTGATTGGACACTATGGTTTTCGTCCCGTCAAAGATACGTAAAATCTCCCGTAGGTCTTGAAGCAATGTTGGATCTGAAGTAACATTAATATTCTTATTCCATAAAATCAAGTAAAATCATTGTTACCCTCTGGTAAACGTTTACATAACTATGGAAAATCACCATGCTATCAATGGGTAAACCACTATTTCAATAGCCATTTTCAATAGCAAACTGTAACAAATTACCAGACGGTATCTCAATATAACCATCATTAACCATCATTATATAAATTATATAGCCATTATTAACCATTCATCATCATCATCATTAACCATTATTAACCATCCTTCTTCCCTTCAAGGCAAACAGATTGATTCATCTGGGTAAATTATAATAATTCACTAACCTGAAATAAGGCCATTTGGGGATGATTTCCCTTACTAACCATGATGAACCAGGGTTCGGGAGAACAGAGTTCGGTCGTGATCAAATTTACCCCAGATATATTCCATTATATCCCACTATATTTTCCCATTAATCCACATTAATCCCCATTAATCCCCATGAACGGCGCTGGGCTCCCAGCTTGAAGAGGCTGTTGGGCTGCATGTGTCCGAATCGGATCTGCCTCGGCGATGTCCGATACCTGCAGGACGTTTTTTGGATCTCCAAAGACGGGCTGGATGAGAAATGGCTGTAATAACTATATATATATATTTATTTATACTGTATATATATATATAATTATATATATATGTATTTACACTCTATGTATATATATATATATACATACTATACATACAGAAAGTGGACTGATCATCAAAATAGTGGTCATGAGATCTGCGCACTGCAAGACGAACAACGCGATGTGACTCCTCAGGAGATCCAACACCGTCAGGCCGTGGAGCCGTCAGCGAAAAAAACGATCCGAAAAGGGTGGATCTCATCAGCAAAAATGCTGATTTCATATATTTCCATGGTGATTTCACCAGGCAAAATGGTGATTTTTCATGATATCTAATGTGATTTAACCAAGAAAGATAGGGGATTTCATGGGATTTATAGCTGATTTACGATCGCTGAGTGGGTTGAGAAAACTCCAATAACTACAGTATGGTTTATGAATGTTTCTGATACATAGATCGAACTTCTAATTATTGGGTGGGCACCACATTGCAGTTTTCTTCCTCCCAAGAAATCCCAAGTGTTTCATGCCGAAGTGATTGATAATAACCAAGGATGAAACTCCCATAGCTGAGTTCTTCAGAAATCATGGCAAATCTGAGTTAAGTATTTGGTGCTTCGTTTTGACTTAAAGAAACACCTGCAATTTTGCGTACATAAATGTACATAAGCTATGTCCATCTTTTACATTGGTTACACTGGTTTGCATATATATATATATATACATACACGTATATATATATATGATGCATATTATTTACCATGGTTTTTGTTTGGCCATTTATGTAGCTTGGTGATACAGCTCTGTGATACCTGGCATGAATTGCTGGATTTTCCCATCGAAAGATGTCCTTTTTTTCAGGTAATCTTACACTTCGCTATGGAAAAACCCAATGTTTTTATAGGTAACTCATCTAGACATGGGCCACTAAAAAGCCATGAGTTTTGCGGCTTCATAAACCATGAGGCCATGGATCATATCACTATACAATGAGAATGGGCGGCTTGATATGGTTTGTTATATAAACAAAAGCTAAGAGGGGAAGAGTTTGAAAACTCATCTGACTGATTCTTCAAAAAAACATGTCGCTGTTTCTACAACATGAACTTTCCTCTGGGCATGAAGCTCTATTTTTTTAAAAAGCAAACAAGTATGAATATTCACTATAATAACTATCTACCCTCTGGTTATGACTAACATAGCCATGGAAGCCATGGTCCATAGAAATACATGGTTTACCCTTCTAAAAAATGGGTGGATATCTTTCCATCGAAAATCGTATCCGAGCCAGGTCTGACAATGTCACCTTTGGCAGCCAGAGGTACGTTAGTACCATATGTTTGGCCATATTTTCTGGGGATATTCCCTGAAATTTAGGCCTGAAAAATAGGCCTTATATATGGAATCGGTACCTCCAATGAATCGGTTCCTGAAATGGCCATTGACATTTCTTCTCAAAACTCGGGCCAGTCTCCAGGTCTATGTTTGGGGGGATGGTAGACTATCGTTTAGAACTGCTTGGTGGTTTTGAGCCACCCCTCTGAAGAATACGAGTTCGTCAGTTGGGATGATGAAACTCCCAATATATGGAAAGTCATAAAAGTCATGTTCCAAACCACCAACCAGAGAAGCCCAAACATACTCCGAGAGTCATATCCACATCATACTCCACGCTGAGTTCTTCCACAAAGTCCTGGAACCGAGGCTTTTCACAAACGTTGGACCCTGTCAATCCCGATGTTGGAAGGAAACGTCAGATCAATAATCTCCTTTTGGTAAAAATAGAGGGGCCGGTTTGGTATAGTACCTGTTGTCAAAGGGGTTTATCCAAACCCCTTTATTAATCAACCAACCAATGGGAAAAGGACATCTATGCGTCAGATATGACGAAGGTACCAGTGTACCATCTGGTAACGTCTACCCTGCTAGTATCTTTGGGAATGGCGCAAATTAGTGTATCTATTGCATTCTGTATCTCCCAAAAACACATCCCAAAGTATGTCAGTTCAAAAAAGCATATATGATATGTGTGTATATATATATATCCACCAGAGTAAACATGACCAAACACATATGCTATATGCTATACATTCCATACATTATTAGAATCATTACAGACTTCCAGTCGGTGCAAAAAACATGACATTACATTGTACCATACCATTAGTCGATTGTTCAGTACAGTTCAGTACAAAATGTTGCCAATTGATATGGGGGTTTCTTTTAAAAAACTGGGTACCTCAAATCATCCAAGTCATCAGACCGTTTTGGTATTGAAACCCATGGTGACTTGGGGTACTCCCAGTTTAGGAAACCTCCATATAAATTGGGGTAGACCGTATACCGTATACCCAATTTGTGGCCAGCCCAAGTCCACTTTTTCATGGTTGGACACTCATGGTTCCAGCATTTCCGCTGCAGCCCCACTTGTTTGATGGTTTAATCCACTTTTTTTTGCCCCATGTTTCACCATTTTCGATAGGTAACATGGCAACGGCAACATCCAAAAAAATGAGTATCACAGGGCTGATGGATTGTGAGAATTAAGCCTCAACATTAATTGGATATGGTTTATATATGGTTAATATATATGGTTCATATATGGTTAATATATGGTTAATGATGGTTAATAATAATCTGGTTGGTGGTTGACCTACCCCTCTGAAAAATATGAGTTCGTCAGTTGGGATCATGACATTCCCAATATATGGAATGTTCCAAACCACCAACCAGCTCAACATATTGGATAGTATAACCCCACAAAGTCATCAACCAGGGATTTTGAACGCTGAGAACACACCACAAGCGGGTCCCTGAGCAGCTGTTCGCGGCCCATTTTGTAGACCTTCTCGAACCTGAGATTGCACTTTGTGGTTGGTGTTTTTTCTCGAACTTGGTTTATGGATACATAAACCACAGTGATCTATATAGTAGAGTCTAGTACACTTACTTATAGTTACTTATTTCTATGGTTTAGTTATGGATATATATACATATATATACATATATATATATATATGGTATTGCTATGGTCCATGATGAAGTATGGAGTCCCGCATCTACCAAAAACCACAGGATCTAGTGAAAATTGATATATGAAGGACTAGTTTACAGGTCTATAGTCATCTCATTACTCTGTCAAAGCGAAAATCAATTAGCTCATCTTGAATATATTGATTTAATTTCATTTATCTGAAAAAAGACAAAGTTGGTGTGAATTCTTGGGTTTGTGGATGTCTATGGTAGACGTATCAAACCAATTGATGGACGTGAATTGTGTTTGTGGACAAACATACATAACTGGGGGCACCACCTGTGTTGGTAGATTTACCAACATACTTGGTGGCTCATCCCACTTAGTAAGTGGGTTATAACCCCAGTTATAAATGGGATAAGTAGGGTTAATCCACTTATAATTGGGGTTATAACCCACTTACTAAGTGGGATGAGCCACCAAGTAAACGTTATCGTTCCATAGATGGAGCAATTGATCATCCAGTTCTATGGACAATCCCCAGAGAATTCGGATTGGATGGTCGGGTTTTTACCCCAAAAGTACTGGAGCAAAGAAGTCCAAGAAGTTCGGCTTTTCTATCTTGAGATACTCAAAACAATACACCAACATGTGAGCAATCTTGAAAACCCTAGGTTCACGGAAAGGACTCCACAATTTTGGGAAGGTCCCATCGCTTACCGTGTGTTTTTAACAATTTCCATCAATTTCCATAAACCAATGTCCGTCCAATACATATTTAGTATTGCCGGGGTTTTTGCGGTGGCTCATGTGGGAACACCACACCACACCAGATCATATCCCGAAAGGAAACCATGCCCGTTTTCCGTCGTTCTGTTCGTTTTTATCTGTTTACGAAAGGGTAACGGTCAAAACAACAACATAGAATCTGGGACGTCACCAACTGAATGCGGATTTTGACGCTGTTGTGGATTACGGATTGGTGATTGGGTTATCTTTCACCCACTAAGAGTGGATATCAAGGATAGGAGGGGGGCAAAACCAAAACTGCGATACTGCCCGTGTAAAGGGGCATAATCCAAGCTATAGTCAAAACAATGCGGATTCCTGAGCAGCACCTGGATACAGTAGTATATCAACCCATTTTAGAATTTTCAGTCCATGTCTTTGCACTTGCAAGATGGCAACACCACGAAGATTCTCAAACATCACGCCAAGCCCCATTGTGGGCAGTGTTGAAATATGCTAAATAATCACCATGTTTAAGAACGGTAAACCATCTATTTCTATGGGCCATCTATACCATGGCTATGTTAAATGCTTGTTGTTTGATCGAAAACCTGAACCCAACCGGCTCAATGGCTCCGTACCCTCTGGTTATGACTAACAGTTCGCCATGGTTTTTCGATGTCGATGGCCCATAGAAATAGATGGTTTACCTATCAAAAATGGTGGATCTTTCCATGGCTATGTTAGTCATAACCAGATGGTATTTCTTGTCAAAAGGTATCCTCAAGCTGCAAATGTTTGTCCCAACGCTTGGACAATCTTGGAGCATTCTTGCTGTGCATGAAACATGCTGTTTACTGTCCTGCTCAGCCAGGACGATTCAAATGACATGGGACCAAGGGGTCAGTCCACAGCATTTCCAAACTTGATGTGACAACTGATATGTCTCCAGTTAGAGACATATCAGCTGTCACACTGATAAGAACAGATACTACACCATTCCAGTGACATCACGACATGAGGTCATGATCAAATGCCTCCAGAGTGTTTCAATCTGCTGCCGGCCAATGTGGTTGGTTGTATCTCCCATTATATATATATATCTATCTATATCCATCCCTATTAAATCCCATTACTGTTGATGATTTGAGAAATACCCTCTGGTAAACTAACATAACTATGGAAAATCACCATTTTTACTGGGTAAATAACAACAATGCTAGGAACATGTGCATGTTCAATAGCAAAACATGCCAAATTACCGGGTAAATCTCCATTAAAACTGCAGCCCCAAGTATTACATCAAACCTCCCATCCGCGTTCCAAGGGGCGGAATAAGGCCGTGATCCCAGAAGCCAGTCATGGTGGTGAGGTGTCGCTCGTGCACCAGTTTGATCCTGCGAACCCCAGTTCCCAATTGATAGCAAAGTTGGCATAACTAGGTTGTACTAAGCCCCTAGAAAAAAATAGAAAAGGTTCAATTCATATCAATTTATGTCCATTTATCATATCATTCATCACTATTTTAGTGCGAGTTGGAATTTCTATCTTGCTCGAGGTTACTATAACATACTATATAACTATTTTATGGATGTCTATTGTAAATAATATATATAATATATAAATATATACACGTATATATATATATATATCGAACTAGCTCACGGGGTGTATAAACCGACAAACATCTCTTTTCCTCACCGGGCATTTGACCATCCTCCAGAAGATGGACAGTAAGTTATCATCATGGACAGTCATCAAGTTATAAAACATGCTCACTATAATAGTGGTCGATGATCATCACAATCATAATTCCAACATTTTTTCAACTGCGAAAAAGTTGCATAGAGCGTTGATCATGTTGTATCTAGCATACAGCGTTCATACCTGTCCAACTGTGCTGTTTGTGGAACCACGATCTCACCATACCTGACCAATGGCTCCACAAACATCGCCCATGGCCTGATGTATCAATAGAAAAAAAACAATGGGACGGAAAATCCATGTAGAATCACGGGTTGAGAAGATTTAAATGGGAACTATATCTATATCTATATCATATATCTATGTATCTATGTATCTATCTATCTATCTATCTATATATATATATTATGTAAGGCCTTCAGTGAATCCCCCATTATTGGACCAGGTCTCAAGTGAGTCCCCAGTTGCCCCCCTGTCTTGATCTTCGTTTGTTGTTCCACCTTTTCTCGGCGCCTTTGCTCGGCCAATCTGACCTTAGCCAATGCACCGAAAGGAGCGAAGTCCACGCGCCATACCATGGGGATACCCATGGGGATACACAAGATCTTGATGGGATCTAACGATTGTGAAAACTCGTGTATGAAAACTGACGATTTAACATATTTAACATGATTTAACTATTTAACCAACGATGGATTTTTTTTTGCTTTGGCTAACTTCAAAATGAGGATATGACAGGATATCCCCGGACATCCCATGATGGATTGAAAATGATGGATTTCATGATGGATTTCACACGATTTCGGACTCTGGAAATGTCCCAGATTTCTGGAGACCCAAAAAAAAACCCGGGCCCAAAAACTGGTTCCAAACATGTCCAAATGTCTCAATGTCTTGGCCGTTTCATGTTTCCCCAAGCGCTTGCTGGACCTTGTACCATAAATGGAGGTTTCGTTCGCTGGGAAAATCATCTATTTCTATGGGCCATCTATACCATGGCTATGTTAGTCATAACCAGATGGTAAATTGTTTTTTTTACAATGTGCCTTTAGATATGCTATTTCATTCTACGATGTTTTAAATAGCATCAAGTAACCATATAATATATATATAGCAACCCCCCAAGAGATAGGAAAGAGAAGTCCTACGAAGAAAATAGTAAATTGAACCTTTTCATACCTTTTCTATCTGGTGATTTCGACACAGAAACTCATTGCTTGAACATGCGAGTAGGAACAATGGGAGATGCCTATGTAGGAACAATGGAGGACCTAAACAGCGATTTTCTGTATCGGTGGACCGTCAGCCAACTCGAGGTGCAAACTTGGCACTTCCTAATCTGGCTGGTGGTTGACCTACCCCTCTCAAAAATATGTTCATCAGTTGGGGTTATTATTCCCAATATATGGAAAAAAAACTGTTCCGAACCACCAAGCAATAATGATTCTCAAGTCAAAAACTGTGAATGGCTTTGAACACCCATTAAAAAACCATCCATGTTGATGCGAAAACCAGGGTACCACTGTGATCAGCCGTCTCATCAGATATCTACAGGAAACCATGGTCAATCTCTTCGACGAGGTGCTCGGACGTGCATGCCAAATGCTAAAATAGCCATTGTTCCAAAACGCAATCATAAATGAGGAAAACTCAAGGTATATATATATATGTATTATACTATATATATACTATACTGTATAATATATATATTACATTAATATATATATATATATATTACAATAATATATATATTACATTAATATATATATATATTACATTAATGTATATATATATATTACATTAATATATAATATCATATCACATGATTGTATAGATAGTATGCACATACAACATACTGATGAACGCCGCTTACTGCCTGAGATGCACATCCATGGTCAGGAAACACATTTTTCTTTACACAGGGGAGATAAACAAATTTGACGAATCACCCGTTGGCTTGAATATTGGTTTGGTCAGAATTTCGGCAGTGAATGTGACAGGTTTTTTCAGAATCATCAGCCATCATTCACCAGTATTAAACAATCATGTACCATTATTATCCATGATTCACCACTACGAGTACTTAACCCTTGTTAACAATTATTCATAATTAATTAGCCACTAATTAACCATTGTAGACCATGGTTAACCATCATTCACCATTTATTAACCATTAAACCAACCATTCATTAACCATTATCAACCATTATTAGTAATTACATCACCGTTCTGAAAACTATATATATATTCTATAATTAGTAATTACATCACCGTTCTTAAGTCTATATACATACACATATATTATATACTTATATATAATTCTATGTATATATATATGTATATATTATATATATACAACTACATACACATATAATATGGTAATCATACACATGATATAACTCTATATACACTCTATGTATATGATTACCATAGCGGGTCCCTTTTTTTTAACGCCAGGACACGTCTCGATCACAGCGATCCACCATCCTGGGATTGACCTCCTCGGACAGAACGGCTCGCCCCAATCGCTGGTTTTGGTTAGGGGAAAATCCCATGGAAAAACCCATCTACAATGTGGGGCCCCCTAGTTATAAGTTGGTTTAGATTCTCCCCAATAACTATAGTTATTTGCGTACCATAAACCATAGCTATTGGAGTTATAAACCAACTTAGCTATCTAGGGGGCCCCACTTTGTAGAAATGGATAAATGGATGGTTTAGCCATGTTTAATACGTTGAATAACTATGGAAAACTCACATATAACGGAAAGGAACATCACCATGTTGAATGGGAAAATCCATCTATCAATGGATGAGAACTGGGGGTACCTCTATTTTAGGAAACCCTCATGTGTACATATATATATATATGTGTTCCAGGTTCTGTGTTCCCCCTCTCCCACCCATGGTCATGGTATCACATGGTATCTGTCCCCCCAACCTTTCCGTGGGAGTGGGTTGGGGTGGGAAGGGGGCTGCATATGCTGTATGGGGAAATATATAATAATAGCTGGTGCATCCAAACAAGTGGTACATAGGTGTTGTATATATATATATGGTAGTATGTATGTAGTACATAAGTAGTGTCTATCTATTTGTAACCGCGTTGTATAGGTAGTATATAGGCAGTTTAAGGTAGTAAATATGTAATTCATATAGAAATATAGGTAGCAAGTACATGAAATATATGTACTATACATACATATACATATGCACACATACATGTATGTATCTATCATTAGTATGAGGTATCTCTAGGTAGTGTATGTCGTTGACCACTCCCCTCAGGTGTGGGGGGTGGGGGGATGGGGGGTTGATGCAGCTTATCAGGCGTGTATGAGTAGGACTCAGGTAGTACTGTATATGGTAGTATATAGGTGCGCCATGATAGGCTGCATACAGGCATGCAATGGGTAATATATAAATGTAAGGTAGGATTGCATATGAGTAGTATATAGATACGGTATTGGTCGCATATAAGTGGAAAAGAAATACATAGATGTATATACTTAATATGTAGACAGCATGCAGGTAGTACATAATTAGTACTGAGGAATTTTGCAGGAAGTATACGGCTCTCAATTGCTGTAAATATGCTGTAAATATGCTCTAAATAGCACGCAAATGGGATATTTTTTTGCGGGAAGAGGGGGTACCATACCATTGGGGAGGAGGGGGGGGCTACCGAACCGGGAACCGGGAACACATGTATATTTATATATACAATTATATATATATACACGTATATATATATACTATGCATATTGAATTGTATTGAGTTGATGACATTGATGGAAACTAACCCATGGTTTGACACACATGTTGCTTCATGATTCTATCATCAAGGGATGGTCTCGGACGAAATTGTGGAGACACTATGGACCTGATAGACAAAAAAACACCAGCTATGTTCCAATTCTGCAAGTGTAACATGTTCCAAACTCGTTTCATGTGTGTTTCATGTCCGTGAATCAACTCTTGGATTGCTCAATATTCGCTACTACAGATTTTCCCGGTGAATTTTCAAGTGGGAACTTGCAACCCCCAATGAACCCTAGATTCTGGACCTGCCTGTCCGAACGAAGAAGAGAAGCGACACTGGGGGACAGAGTGAGGCAAAAAAAAAACATCCAACCCATCTTAGGATGAAACATGATGAAGCATTGAAATATCAAACTTATCCAAACATTAAACCCATAATGGCCTAGATTCAAAAAGGTAAGCTACAGACCCTGGGTCTCCGTGGTAGCATGCACCACTGCCAAGCACAAATTCCCAGGCGCCTTTGGATCAGGCTGCCTCAAAATTTCGCTTCGCGCATCCTGTGGGCGAAGCGAAGGTGAGTATGTCGAAAGAATGGACATCATTTTATTTCGGATTTTCATATCATTCATGGATTTTACCCCTGGGATTCCATCATACATTCTATAAGCCATCCATTTTATGGAACACCCCTTAAATATCCTTCAATGGCGACTGGAGATCTAATCCGCCGGCAACTCTTGTGTCCTCCCGGATGTACATCAGCATGTACCTATGGCGGCGAAGTGAGCGACCAAGCGTTTTTTTTGAAGGAAAAACGTGGAACAACCATTAAAAACCGGAAAAAACATCATGTCATCACGCGGTTCATCAATAATTTTAGGAATTGTCCATAGTTTTCCCCACATTTTCCCAATAAAATTATAAGATACTGGATCATACTGGGATGGGTATCACACGTTTTAAGTTCCGTAAATTGAGCAGCTCAAAAATCACCAACCCGAAATAAGGTCAATTGGGTATGATTCCCCTAACAGCCATCATGTACAGTGACGTTGGCCAGTGAAGTCGTTATCATTCATCCAGACCATTGTGGTTGGCTGTATACTGTATACCATCCATTTTTGTTCGATGGATAAATCCACATCAAAATCACCATGTAGAAAATCTGGTTGGTGGTTGACCTACCCCTCTGAAAAATATGAGTTCGTCAGTTGGGATCATGATTCCCAATATATGGAAAAATAATCCAAATGTTCCAGACCACCAACCAGTTAATGGTTAAATCCCCAATTTGTTGGTGAAATCTCTTTAAACAAAACCCAGTGCTGGTGAAGTTCCCATGTCTGCTTCTGTCCCCATCGCCAGTCACTTTATTATATAAGTGTCTAAATTCCAAGGATCAGAAAAACTTTGAGGGTGAAATCCCCATATGTTCACTATGTTTTTTTTGGTTGTTCATGAGTTCAACATAGTTGAATTTCCCATGTTCATGGTGAAAAAGCCAGTTTTCATGCTGCATTTTCCCCATTCCGAGGCCCCCGGGGGTCCCCGGTGACCACCTGCCCACCCGGTGCCGACAACCGCGACGCCAAGAAACGCGTTGTGGCTGCGCGAGGGCGTGCTGCGCGGCTGGGCGTGGCCGTTGCGCAGCTCTGTGGGGCTGCGATCGAAGTAGTTCCAGACTGGCAAATCGCTGCCTGCAGAGTATCATTGGATTGGTTTTGTTGGGAAAATCTACAGGAAATCATGGTTTTTAGCATTAAATATGTTTTTTTCCTGTAAATTTTCCTGTAAACCAATCCAATGAGAGTAGAAAAACTGGTATTCTATGGTATAATATTTTTTTTCATGATGGAAATGGTATGTGGTATAATGATATTCATAATAGAACATATGGTATTCATAAAATATGGTGTATTATGAAATGATATCAATGGTATAATGATGGAACAATATATAGTAGAACACTGGTATATAGTAGAACACTTGTATAATATTGTATAATATGATGGTGAAATGGTGCACATGATGGAACCATATTGTATATTTTGGTTCCATCATTTTTCACGAGTATAATATGGTATTGTAAGGAGTGATGATTATCAATCACTATTATTTTTTTAATAATGACTATAATAGTGATTGACAATGATATTTAATGATGGTATTATTTCACTAGTGAACACTGGTATATAATTATCAATCATTCTGTTTATGCATATTCATCATGATCAATAATGATGGTGAAAAACGATGGAAAACATATATTAAATCATCAACAAATAGCGAACAACGTGGTGTTTAAATATCAAGATCAATCACTATTATAATCATTATTGTAATCGTTATTCTAATTATAGTGATTGATCATCATCACTCATTATAATGATGGTGAAAAAATGATATTTAATCATCACAAATTACAATAATGATTGATCTTCAATAGTGATTATGGTATAATATGGTATAATAATGGGTTGGTAAATCACTACGATTGATGGGATATATGGGATCAGTATTGATAATAATGGTGAATAATACTGAATATTGAATATTCAATAATCAATAGTGATTGTAATGGGATGTAATCATCAACAATAGCAATCATTATATGTAGGTATTATTACATATTAACAATAATGATGATGAATAGCAACTAGTAGCAATCATCACTTCTGGAATAACAATGTAACAATTGTGGATGATGGTATTTAAAAAACAACAATCATAACAGAGGTTCTTATTACCAATAAAGATAAATCAAGGATGGAACGGTAATTAATATAATGGAATACTACTGGGACAATTATGATTAATGATCAATGGTGATTGCAAGGGATGTAACAGGCATTGTAGGCATGTAATAGGAGTACTAATAGTGATTACTGATTACTAGTAGCAGTTCTTGATTTCTATGGTCAATAAGCATGGAATAGTGATGAATAGTGGACATAATTCCATTGTTGGACACTTTACAAAAAGATAGTACAATGTCAAGCCAATTGTCATTGTGAAACACTGTTCGCACTTCAGATACCCTCTGGTAAACTAACAAAACTATGGAAAATATCGGAAAATCACCATGTTTCATGGGTAAATCAACTATTTCTATGGCCATTTCCCAGTTCGCAAACTGTAAACGTTTACCAGAGTGCCAGAGGGTATCCCATTTCTGTTTGGGGATCTCTGATGTATTCCCCCCAAAAATCCCTCTCCGCTCCTCCATAGTTGTCCTCAATCGCAGCATATTCACTGCAAGGCGTGACCGTCTCATCATCAAACTTAAACCTGACCCAGCGCGACTGGGGGGTGGCAAAGATATCATGGGGAACGAAAATGGGGACGTAGTAAAACGGATGAATGACATATAATAATAGGATAAATTATCATATCATAACACTGTATATATATATATATACAGTATATACATAGAAACACATGTACATGTGTATTAATATACATGTACATGTGTATTAATATATGTATATATATAATTATGTATATATATATATCACAATCTAACCAGTTCTGAAACTGCCGCGAAATCTTCAGCAAGGCCCAAGGGATTGTGAATCAACACAGCGACCTGTCTATCTTTTGTGGTAGAAATATGTGTTCTTTGAACAATAATGATTATGGTATCACTATAAAAAGCATGTGTATATGGTATTAATTGTGATATATATATATATATATATATGGTGTATATAAATTGTATCACTTAACTATAATATACATATATAATTTATATATAGCTATAATATATATATATATATTACTATAACTATCATAATGATTATGGTATCAATATTTCTTTTAAGGCTTCGTTTAGGTTACCACCCACCGGAAGGGTGTCGGTAAACAGGCCAGGCAAACCACCCTCTGTCCGGGTCGGGCTGAATGTGAGCATAGTAGTGCCTCAGGACAAAAGGTCAACTGGTTATGCAACATGTCTGTCTGTCTGTCTGTATATATACATATACTATATATATAATATAATATAATATAACATAACATAACATAACATAATATAATATAATATATATCATATATATATACATATATAGATACATGTATTTATATGTATTTATACATGTATTTGTATATGTATTATGTATTTATACATGTATTTCCTATGTTTTGATCCATAGAAGTTTGATCTTTTTGTCTTCAAAAATTAGGGCGGAGCACTTAGCCAAATTTACACCTGAGGGTTGGCATGCCACAGATTTGCATCTTGGGTTTAACATGGCTTCAGGCATCTTGATGCATTCTTTACTTACAAATTTTACGCAAAGTTCTCACATGGTAATATGTAATAAAAAATGACCATTACCAATATTATGTAATAAGTTCTCACATGGTATTACAATATTTTAAAAGCCATGGCTTCTGATGATGAATGGCATGTAGTACGACATCTACAACCACAATGGGCATTCATTTTTGCAGTAATGTGGGTAAAACAATGCCACAAACCATCCCCCAGTCATCACCATGAATTTATAGGTGGTATGGTTACCATTCCCATTTTTGGGTGGTTTATGGGGTTGTTTTACCCACATTATATCCATATTAATTCCTTATTCTTGATGATTTCCCCAGATTTTTCCCATCTTTTCCCATTCTTCGATTCCCAACTGGTGCCATTTCCACTGTTTCGCTGATCACGGCCATCCAGTTTCAGCGGAGGGACCCACTGTTCACGTCACCGTTGTGGACCACCACAGCAAAAAGATCATACTTGCCTAGCGGCAACCAGTCACTGTTAATATACGCTTAATATATGGTTACTGTTTGGTGGTTGACCTACCCCTCTGAAACATATGAAAGTCAGTTGGGACTATTATTCCCAATATATGGAAAAATAAAACATGTTCCAAACCACCAACCAGGTTATTATACGGTTAATGATGGTTTATAATATTCTGGTTGGTGGTATACCTACCGGATGATCACATTCCCAACTGAATGGAAAGTCATAAACATGTTCCAAACCACCTTGCGCAGGTCAAGTAACCGTAACCTCTAAGAATGGGGCCCAAGTTTGCCAAGTTGGTTTCTGACCAACCTGTGGATGTTTATGGTAATGAAAGGACTAGAGCTAACTAGTACCCGACCTGGTAAACGTTTACAGTTTGCGAACTTGAAACTAGCCATCGAAATAGTTGATTTACCCGTGAAACATGGTGATGTTCCAGAATGATGTTACATAGTTTACCAGGGGTGAACATCACCTGGTAAGAATGGGGATCTATCCCAGCATGGGCCTTTTTTTGGATTCGTTGGGTAGCCACAGAAAAAACGTTTCTGAATCATGTTCCCTATGAAAATGCACGAACTTGGGGCACTGAAACCTGGAGAAACCCACCTTGCATCATCCAAGGGGATGTGGAAACCAAAGGTTGCTGGTTGGTGGTTGACCTACCCCTCTGAAAAATCATAGAGTGAAAGTCAGTTGGGATGATGTTCCATTCCCAACTGAATGGAAAAAAAACATGTTCCAGTCACCACCAACCAGTATATAGATCTATTAAGTCCATATTAAGATATTTTTTAAGTCCCATTAAACCATATTAAGTCCCTACAACGTTGATGGTTTAATTAATCACAAGTGGAATGTCAATCAAGGATACACAGGCAAGGGATGATGACAATCTCCCTAATGGTTTTCGCTGCGATTTCACTGAACTGCCTCCCCAGTTACAAACTGGTCTACCTTCCCGTCCAACAATAGATGATATCTACATTCACCTTGGTTAGCCTATATTTTTTTTAAAAAAAATCAAGATAATTCAAGTAATCTGATAGGTGTCATCCATTAACCTAGCCTTTTTCAGATCTACAATCATCCATTCAACATCGTAGCCTTAGATCTACATTCACCCTTGCTATCCCAGCTAGAGATGCTTTCTGTTGTTAATGCGCTGCTGAAATAATTTCTATATATATATAATATATATATACACGTATATATATATTCTGTTGTATTATCATATGTTAATGGTATCTTGGTATTAGAAATACATATGCTATTGATATCTCAGTATATATATACACATATTAGTATTCTACTATATCATTGTCCAACATATTTAAACATATTCAAACTCATTAAAAGACACACAATGCTAGCCGGTGACACCTGCATCCGGAGCGAAGGGGCTCAGATCCAATTTCCGGGGAAATTCGAACCGCGAGTTCAGCTTCACCTGACGGCACCGTCAGATGGTGGGAAAAACACATGGCAAGGATCTGTGCGAAGGATAGCTCAGTTGGTTTATAAACCCCATGAATACTAGATAGTCATATTATATATATATGTGTATATATATATATGATTATATGTATATATATATATATGTATATATATATATGTATATATATATATGTATATATATATATATATATGTATAATTTCTAAATGTTTCTAAGTTATCATAAAAACCCGAGTTCAGCTGAGTTAAGCTATCGTTGGCCTCACCTTGTAGGAAAGCTATCGGTTGCAACGATTGAAAAGTTGGCTGTTCCCTCAAGAATCCATCTGTTCTTGGGTCAAATCACCAATTCTTTGAGACAGGAATCCGCTTTGCCAGACTTTAGGTGGAAATCTATAGGTCGATCTCCAATAGATCTGGCTATGAACCAAGGCTCGTAGCTAGGTAAACATCTCCAAAAAACCTCTTGCTCAGTCTTAATGAATCATTATCCGGAAATAAGGTCATTGGGAGGTAATTCGCAATATACAATATACATTATATAATAATATATACATATATATATATATATGTATACATATATAACTTATAACTTATATAACTATGCATAATGTCTATAGAAAATATGTCTTCTTATATACAAATGACAACTCCAACAGCAGTGAAAAAACACCATGATTTTCCGCAGGTTTCGGTTCCGCGCCATGTCCATCTTTTCGAGGTCAAAGTGAAAACGCTTCAACTGCAAATTCAGCAGGGGAGGAAACCTGCCATGGCTGTGGATGGATTGGTGGATTGACACCGATGTTTTTTTGAGGCTGAAAGGAATTGGAACCATTTTTACCAGCCCTGGAATTATGGGAATGGTTTATATATATATATATATTTATACCACCTATATATATATATATATGCATATGGTGAACATGGGGGATGGTGCCAATGGCATTGTTTTACTTACATATGGCGTCTAACAAAATGGAAATCGAACATGATATCACTGAAAAATGATGCTTGATTTGATGAGATGTACTTAGAAAATCCTATTGTATTGGATATCATGTAGTACCACCTGGTAAACAAACATAACTATGGACAATCACAATTTTAATGGGTAATTCCACTATAAATGGCCATTTTCAATAGCTATTTTGACATAACCAGAGGGTAACGCGTATGAATGGGAAACCGTGTTCAACCAGTTTCATGAGATTGGAGAAACTCGTGCCACAGACGTTGGTGTACCCGGTTTTTGCTTTAAGAACTCCTCATGTATGGCATTATATAGCTGGGTTTTGAATATGTTCCCCGTGTTTTTGATGAAGTCGGAGATGGAAGACTAGTTGACTAGTTCTTTGTCCTTCAACGAAGAATGCAAAGCTATGATGTCATCTTTGGTTGCTAAGGTTGATGGAATTGAAGACACATCTTCTGCGGAGAAATGGAAGAAATTGGCCTGTCAGACACAGCCAAAACAACCCCAGAAAATGACCCGAACTTTGCCATCCCAGTTGGCAAGGAAGGGCTCAACTGCTTCTATGACACCAGAATGCTCCCCATACCCAAACAGCTACTGGTCACTGGTCCTTTCATTCTGGCATGCTGGCTTTTCGAGCAAGAAAAGTCAATGGAATAAACCAACATTGCCATTTGTTGGGCACGTCCAAGTATACCCGTTTTGGACGTGTTAAATGCCAATTTTCATTGCCAATCTTAGATACCCTTAACAACAAAAAACAAAACTCAGCTGGTGAACGACAGCGATCATCCCATTGATACCAAAAGACAGCCAAAGCGGATGAGTTTCTACATGTTTCTAGCCATCCAGTTGGTTACCCTCTGGTAATTTAACATAGCTATTGAAAATGGCCATTGATAGTGGATTTACCCATTGAAAATTGTGATTTTCCATAGTTATGTTAGTTTACCAGAGGGTAACCTAGTTTTATCAATGATTTTATCCAAGCTGTGTAGTTAAACTTCGTCCATCTGCCGGCCATGATCCGCCTCAGGAAGCGGATCCCCTTCCTAGGCGAGGACGTCTGACACCATGCGACTAGAGTCAGTGACTAGAGCTTAGATGTCTTGACGAAAATCTTCAAACATGGTGATTGGTTATGATAATAATAATATAATCAATAACAATGAGAATAACAATAATAATATATATATATATATAACTTATGTATGTATATGTATATATATAACTTGTATATATATATATATATATCATATATCTTATGTACATATATATAACTTATCATAACCCACTGACTAACTGGGGTGAAGCACCAAGTGAACAAACAAGTCTTTGAACTGGTGAGTCAACTTCCATCCATTTATGGCTTACACGTCTGGAAAGGCAACTGGTACCCTTGTTGTTACAAGCTAAACAGGCTCCCCCCTTGAGCCTACAAAATATGAGATACAGACTGTCAGGTCGTGTCAGTTTCAGTAATTCGGAACACGTCCAAATTCTGGACACATTGCAGTGAGTGGCCTGTGCCGCACATGTAGACCATCAAAGTGGTACTGTAGTGGTACCCTCTGGTAAACGTTTACAAAAAACTATGGGAAAATCATCTTTTTTAATAGGTAAATCAACTATTTCTATGGGCCATGTTCAATAGCTATGGTAAATTACCAGAGGTAATTTCCCGAACACTGAAATTGAACTCTGTCCTATCTCGATTGGTTCTGGAGGGTCATAGGAGCCATTAAAAACACACCTATCGCATCCCATTATACTGGTTGGTTAGTACATATTCCTACTATGAGGTAAAATAATCCCCATTAAGCCAGGTAATACTATTGTGGTTAATATTTAATTACTGGGGATTATTATAATAGTTATAATAGTTATACAAGTTATAATAGTTATAATAATCCTACCAGGTAGTCTAATACCCTTTTTTCTTAACCCATCAACTCTTTGCACTTTTTTCTTCAAGATGCTTCGCGCGCTGCTTTCCATGCCCTTCCGCCTGGGTAATCCAAAGGCTCACGAAGGGTGTGGATCTCAACTTATCACTAATTGCTTTAAAAATCCATAGCTGATTACCCTCTGGTAAACTAACATAACTATGGAAAATCACAATTTTTAATGGGAAAACTCACCATAAATGGCCATTTTCAATAGCTATGTTAGTTTACCAGAGGGTAACTGATTAGATATTAGTGATTAGTTGAGATCCACCTGGGATCAGTTTTAAGCAGCTAGTTACTGTGATGGATGGATAATCAGGTGTGTTTATTATCCATCCACAACTGGGGTGTACACCATGTATACAATCACTGGGTCAATTAGTGTGTCCAGAACTGTATTGCCAATATGATATGGAGGTTTCCTAAAATGGGGCTATCCCCCAAATCATCCATTTTAATGGGATTGTCGATTGTAAACCATGCATTCTGGGCTAACCCCATAGGAAACCTCCACATAAAACCGGTAAAATCCATGGCTAAGGTGCCACTTGGCGAAGGCCAAAAAAATCCGGGGCAAAACTTGGCGAAAGATTCAGGATCCTGGGGATCCTGTTGAGGCAGCCATGTAGATGTGCATCCCAAATAGTAAGGGCTTGTAGCAATCTCTACATGTAACCTATATAATAGATATATATATATACACCTTATATAACCCATCATATGTCTGTTATGTAAATATATGGTTCTTACACACCTACAAACTGGGATGCAGCCCCAAGTACATTGAATCTATGGATGCTGTGGCATACTTCACTTGGGAATCCTTGCCGGTCATATGCTAGCACTGTCCTAACCATCATAATCCAGATATAGCTAGGGTATACCACATATATATATGTATATGCTGGGTTATATTCTGGCTATGAAAAAATACTAACTCGGAAGCACATCCAAGCACTTTGAGCTGTAGAAAACTGAGTGATTTCAACAGCTTCAAAGGAAGCCTGGGCTTTTCGGCTTTTCAATGGCTCGGCGTTTCTCAGGAATGGATCTTGAGTATCTATGCCATTCAACATTTGACACTTCATTAAAAAGAACCAATTGCATAATAACGTGGGTAAAACAATGCCATAAACCCTCCCCCAGTCATCACCATGAATTTATGTGGTATGGTTACCATTCCCATTTTTGGGTGGTGTATGGCATTGTTTCAGCCATATTATATCCATATTAAGTCCCTATTCTTGATGATTTCCCCAGAATTTTCCCATATCTTCCAGTGATTCGATTCCCAACTGGCCAACTGGTGCCATATCCCCAGCAGCAATGCCTTGTTGTTCCCCAATGAGAACAACAAACGCTATGCTCAGACCCTTTTCTAGTCAGCTTGCAATGGGTCATGGGTCAAAATCATCAAGTCCCAATGCTTTTGTCAATGGATTGGTTTTCACGGGGAAAATTTTACTTCGGAAAGCCCATATGAAAAATGGGAAAATCTATATGGTTTCCGTTTAAGATTTCCCCTTAAACCAATCCATTGATTTTGGCCACCCCAAATGGAGCTTGACTCCCATCCCCCTCATATTTTTCACACCCCAGGGCCATGGTTCCTATGATGTGGAAATTCCCAACAAAAAACCATGGTTTCGGGCCTAGGGGGTGTTGAATATGAACGGGGGATGGGATTAATCAGGACTTGATGATTCATACCTAAAACCAAACTTAATGGTATTTAATCCTAACCAAATTATTTGGACAATTATTTGGATAAACGAACTTGATTATTCATACCTAATACATCTTAATACCAAACTGATTAAAGCTCCATTTTGGGTATGGGCCAAAACCATCCATTTTGAGACTTGATGATTTTGACCCATGACCCATTGCAAGCTGACTCTACCTAAAACCAAGTTGATCCTAACACCTAAAGTAAGGCCAAGTTGTGGGCTACCTGCAGCTACCTGCAGCTACCTTGACTCCCAATGGTTGGTTATGAACGGTTGGCTAAACTCGCCCAGATATTTTTTGCTGTATACATTTATTTATACAACGGTTGGTGGTTTCAACAATTTGGCCAAAAACAAATGTAAGTCAATTTGGCCAACATTCCATTCTTGGGGAATAAAACAAACGTTGAAACCACCAACCAGCGATTATATGCGTAGACATTGCCTATAATAAAGTCTAATAAATCATAATCAGAATCATATTCATAAAAATATACTATTACATATGCATATGTGCCCATATTATACTCATATTTCTCGCAACAAGCACGAAAAAACCAACGTTGGCAAGGAGCTTCGTAGGCATTGTCACCCTCCAAGGTCTCCTGTGACGGAACCGCATTGTTGGATCCTTCACTTGATCTTTCACATTGTTTAACACATGGGTACCCTCTGGTAAACGTTACAAAAAACTATGGAAAGATCCACCATTTTTCATGGAAAAATCCACTAGTTCGACTGTGCCATTTTCAAAAGCAGACTGTAACCGTTTACCACATGGGTAACTATCAACAAATGGGAAAATCACTTCACAAAAGCATCAAGTGTTTATCAATATAATGGAGATGTCATGGAATATTCATGGGATAAATATTATATATATAATATATCATTATATAATGGTGCCATAACCAGTATAATATATATATATATAGCAATCAAGAATGTGATTCACGGGCTTCTGTCTGAAAGTTGGGGAAAAACCACCAGGCCATTGTGAAGGAATGGGCAGTCACTTATGATCAACCGCTGTATTATGATATACTATGGTTAATGATGTTTAATAATGGTTAATAATGACTATATAATGATGATGAATGGTTAATAATGGTTTAAAACATGATGGTTAATGATGGTTATATTGGGATACCCTCTGGTAAACATACAAAAAGCTATTGAACATGGCCATAGAAATAGTGGATTTTCCCAGCTAGAAAATGGTGGATCTTTCCAGTTCGCTATGTTAAATTACCAGAGGGTAATAATATATATGTATATACAGTACATACTAATGATTAGAGAGAGAGAGAGAGAGAGAGAAAGAAAGAGAGCTAATTATGCATCGACTTTATAGACGGTGTATGCCATGCATAATCTTTTAATGGGTTAAAATTCAAGAAACATCTGGGAGTGAATCGGCCTGAAGATTGTAAATCATATCAAATCATGGATAAATTCTTCAAATATGTTTCAATGAAGTTGTCGTGTATATTAATATAATATATAATACGTATATATATAATACATAAATACACACATACCGTACTTGTCCGGAAGTACACAGGAATATTTAGAACATGAAAGGCATGCTATCTTTAAACAAGAAACATGTCGCATTTCGAAATCAACTCTAGGATCCTCATCGGTGCTATGGGGGTCTTGACCATTTGCCAAATATGACGAAACTGTCTACTGGATAACTGTGAGTAATTTTCAGCCAAAAGCGAAATACTCTGCAAAAGATGAAGCTTGATTCGCTTGATATAGCTGGATTCTTTGCTTGTTATAATGGTTATAACATGTTATAGCATGTTATAGCATAGCTACAAAGTGAGTCCCCCAAACGATAGCTAAGTTGGTTCACAAAATTCGAATAACTATGAATAACTATGGTTTATGATATACTTCTATAATTATGCAATATATTTAGAGGCTTTATTTATTCAAACGTTAACCATGAAAATAACCAACGTTTCACCGTGCCCGCTTGGCCACCTTGGCCACCCGTTTCTCCAAATCAACCGGGATCCTCCGAGGTGAAATCGTGCAGCGATTCGTAGATGTTTTGCATCTCCTGACCTCTTTCGCTCTTGATGTTCAGCTGAACATCCTGAGCCGATGATCAGTTTTGTCAGTCGGGATGAATAGCTGCTGATTTTCCATAGTTATGTGAAAATAGAACATCCTGAGCCGATGATCAGTTTTGTCAGTCGTGATGAAAATAGCATGGTGGATCTTTCCAGTTCGTTTTTTGTAAACGTTTACCAGAGGGTATATGGGATATGAATGGATATGAGTTATATGGTTAATAATGGTCTGCTTGGTGGTGCAATTTCACCATCTTGAAAAATGATGGACTTCGTCAATGGGAAGGATGACATCCCAGCCAGGGATGGGAGTCGAGATGGGAGTCAAGTCACTGCCGCTGGCACTGCCCCGGCTGAGAAAAGACACATCGCCAAGGTAAGTTGGGGGCCAACTATAGGAAAACTCCAAGTCACTATGGTTTGAATATGTTTGAATGGTAGATATATATCAGATACATCGAACTACTATTCCTATGCTTTAAAAACCAACGTTCACAAAACTATGGTTTATAACTATTGTTTATATGATATAGTTATAACTATACTTACTATGTTTTTTCTTAACCAACGTTCACATCTGCCTGGGGGGGGCACAACCTTTCAGGAGTCAGTTGCGAAAAAACTTAACGGAAATCCAATGCATCTAGTGGATGATGGGAGATGGTGATGGATACTCAACCCCCCAAAAAAAAGATCCAAGATAAATATGTGGAGGTAGTTATGATTAGTTATGTATATAGTTGGATGATGTGTCTCTCATCATTTCCAGCTTTCGGCATCTTTTCGGCATCTTTTTTTGGGGGGTGCTACCAAGGAGAAACACGTTTCAAACGTTTCCATGTTGATGAACCGAAAAACCATCCTGGTTCTGAAGAAACGGAGATCTCAGGAATGGGGGTCCCGTCAACTAGGGAGTCCCTATATCAATGGCCCTGTCAATGGCCATTCCAGGTAAGGCCTAAATTTTAGGGAATATTCCCCCAAAATATGGCCAAACAAATGGTACTATACTAACGTACCTCCATTAATTCGGATCCTGAAGATCTCCCATTGACTATAGATTCCATCAACCAAATTGACTAAAGATAGATTCCCATTGACTATAGATTCCCATTGACTAACGTACCCAATTGACTATAGATTCACATACCGTCTGGTTATTTAACATAGCCACGGAAAATCACCATTTATAATAAGTAAACCATCTATAAATGGGCCATTTTCAATGGCTATGTTAAATAACCAGAGGGTAGATTCCATCAACCAAAATCCAAAGATGACCAGATGGAGATATCATCGGAGGGCCATTCCAGGTGCCTGCAAGATGCCTGGAGTGGATTGATCCATATCCCATGACGGATCCATGGTGCTGGTATATATGGTGTGCCATGGATCCCATCCATATACCCCCTTTATGTTAGCATATATACCAGCACCATGGATCCTATGGGTATGGCATGTGGTATGGCTATGCCTAGAATCCGATTGAACATCCATAGTAACTAGGCTATCCCCTAGGCCCCAAATCCATGGGTTTTTAACCATGGTTTGTCGGTTTAAGTCATAAGTTTCCGGCCGTTTCAGGGGCGACTATCCAGCCGACAAAATCATTGGAATTGTTAGCAACAATACTGGTTCTGAGGCAGGGTACACACACCTGCAAAAAAGTCTAGGCCGGCCACCAGCTATTAACCAATCTGCAAATTGAAATCATCTTGGATTTCTTTCAGGTCTCCCGCCCCCAAAAAATACTTATACCTATTACATTATGATATATTATATTATATTATATTATATTACATTATATATCATTATATTACTATAGATTCCTCCATTTCTGGTGGATATCCAAAAAAATCCAAGAATTCTCCTGGCTGCGCTCGCTTCGCTCCAGCCAAGCATCATAGAAGGTTTCGTTCCTCCTGGACCTTGGCCAAATATCGTCATCAAACGTTTCTTACTGTGATGGGTGTGATACAAAATGGGCATTTCCATGGGATTTCCATGGTAAATAATGGTTAATCATGGTTAATAATGGCTAATAATGGTTAATAATGGTTATTGATTGTCAGTGGTGGTTAGTAAACTATGTTATAACAGTGATTTAATGATATATATTTCATTAGATATGGTGTAACTATGGGATATAACATATTAATATACTATGGTGTAACTATGGTATAACAGTGTTATAGATATGATTTAAATTCTGGGAAACTAACAGTTTGCTATTGAAAATGACCATAGAAATAGTTGATTTACCCATTAAACATGGTGATTTTCCATAGTTATGTAGAGGTTTACCAGAGGGTTTATGGTTATGGGTCAAAAGCCTGGTACCCTACACTAAAATAGCAGAACATAGCTGTGAATGGATAGTTATTCCCGCAAATATGGAGATAGGTTTTGACCCATCCCCATATCTTTGTATTGCTATGTGGATCTATGTGGCGTATAAAAGAATCAAAACATATACAGTGCATTTAAGTTGTTGCTTCGTTCCCGCTTATCGTCTGCACTCTCTTCATCGTTTTACATTGTCTTGTTGCATTCGAGCCTAGGCAGACTTGAGAGGCTCCCGCACATGTGGCAACCATCAAGAAAGCATCGCATGATTCCCGTTTTGATACAATGTATATGTATATATATATATATATATTGAATATATTGTCTTTCAAGCCATGACAAAGTTTTTACATCCCAATTAAACCACATCAACCTCATATAAACCACATTTACATCCCAACTAAAGGATTTAAGTGTAATGCCATCACGTTTTCAAACGGTGGTTCTCATGAGGAATCATCTTCCAAGTCTTAGGATGGAGACATTTCTTCACATTCCGCTTTAAGGCTTTTTTGTAAAATGGATGAGATTTGTTTCCCCAATTATATATATATACCGGTATAGAATACGCTTATTAATACAAGGTAGTAAAACCCCAAAGTAATCATCAACCAAAACCGGGAAAACCCGGCTTTTGAACACTGCGCGACGCGCGCCTTCAACTTGCGTCCGCGGATGAACTGTGTCCAAATCGCATGTCTCAGCTTCGGACGAATAGTCCACATCAATGCACTCGATGTAATTTTCCATCTCACCTGCCACAATTCATGGCCAATCTTACCCTCTGGTAAACATACAAAAAACATCAAAAAACTATTGAAAATGGCCCAGTCGAAATAGTGGATTTACCCAGCTACAAAATAGTGATTTTCCAGTTCGCTTTTTGTTAACGTTTACCAGGCCGGGTACCCATCGCCAAAAAAAATACCAAAAACATCCAATAGCTGGTCAGTATCTATCCCCATCTGCCTCGTACAGCCGGTACGGTTTTTTTTTGTGGCAACCACACCGAAAAATCCTGGCTTAAAAAGATCACTTGCTAAATGAGATGCACCAAAAAAAAGTGGCTTGGCCTGTTCTGCTGAACACATTTGGGATTCTCTAGCTAGAAAACGATGGCAGAAAAAACACTCACTGCATCGAAATCATCATTTTCCAATATTTTCTCATTGGAATTGCCATGACTTGGGGGGTATACAAACCATTTTTAGACTCGACTCTCGCATGCACTCAGAGGTCCATAATGACACAGCCCCGGACTCTGGTGGTGGGGTCAGTGCATTTGAAACTATGGTGACTGAATATCGTGAAGGTCAAGAGAAGACCAGGGCCAACAATCGGAGCGCCCCAAGAGTTGGTATACGATAAGAACATGCATCATGCACATAATTGTAGTGTCGCAAGATTTAACCCAAAGGGAAGTGGGAATCAAAACAGAACAGGAAGGGTGAGGAATCGCAAGGCGCGACCAAATATTTTTAGACACATTCATTCATATCCATTCTTCATTGGTTAAATCCACTTCTCATAGTTAAACCACTGTTGTTCAACATTTTTGCTCCTTAAATCCCTGTAATACCGCTCCATTGAGCGCAACAAAAAAGTAGCAGCTCTCCTTCTCAGCCATGGAGCATCGGAAAGGGTGGTGAATAACCCTGTGGGATCGTTGGTGTACCAACTTAGCGAACTGGTTCGAGAACAAAACATCGAATTCAGTGGGGTAAAGTAGGATCAGTCCGCTTATTTCTGGATTGGTAGGCCCACTGGCCCACCTTTGATCACACATAGCGGTGTTTGGTATACCAATTGTTGGGTTCACAATTCTGGACCACGCCCCAGAATTGCTGATCATATCGCATGTGTTGGTGAGATCCAACTTTTTGCTAAATCTCCACTTAAAATCAGTTTTTTTTTATACTTAATTAAGCAAATAGAAAAATCCCACTCGGATTGGACAATTCCTAGCCCAACCAAGCGCTGAAAACATGCGAATCCAACGGAGGTTTCTAGCTGGGCAAGTCATCAATGGGGGATTTTCCAGGACGCCACGGTGAAATGATTCCCATCATGTGGTAAACGTTAACAAAAAACTGTGGAAAATCACCATTTTCAATGGGAAAATCCACTATTTCTATGGCCATTTTCAATAGCAAACTGTTAAATTACCAGAGGGTATCATGTGGTTGGGACACTCAATTCGTAGCTCCCCAATGATGGTTCCTGATATACAAATTGATAGACATGGATAAAAATGGCATAAAAGCTCCCTCCATTCACCACCAGATGAATCATTGCTCATGTTTTATAAATCCACATGTTTCATGGTTAAGTGTTATGTTGGAAAATGTGTAAATATATCTTAATGTTGTATCCTGATTAGTAGCTAGGTTCGCTATTGTGCCAAACAAAATCCAAATTATTCTGAACCCATGCATTGTTTGGCAGGTTCGCTATTGTGGCAAGAAATCTTGGGAGGCATTTGTCTTTAAAAAAACATGTTTGAGTCAAACAATTCTTGACATTTTTTCGGCGAAAAATCGTGCTTGTCTGCTTATTAAAGGACAGTTTTTCCACAAATTTCCAAGGCACTGGGCCATGAGAGGGCCCAGTTCACTTTATATAGTAGGTTTGTTCTCAGGGTTCACAATTGCAGCAAACGTTTCCAGAGCTGATCGTGGAGCCAAGAGAAGAAAGAAACGCCTTTTATTAAAAGCAACCTGTTCTTTCTCTTTCTCTTCCTCTTTTCCTTTCTCCTCCTCTTCCTCTTTTCCTTTCTCCTCCTCTTCCTCTTCCTCTTCCTCCTCCTCTTCCTCTTCCTCCTCCTCTTCCTCTTCCTCTTCCTCCTCTTCTTCCTCTTCCTCTTCCTCTTGCTCTTCCTCTTCCTCTTCCTCCCTCTCTCTCTCTCTCTTTCTCTCGTTCCCTTTCTCTTTTTCTTTCTCTTTCTCTTATTACATGTTTCATTTAGAAAAAACTTATGGTGGAAAAGGTAACGCAATAAACATGCCGAACCCCACGCACTACAAGTACTACAAGTACTACAAGTACTACAAGTACTACAAGCACTACAAGTACTACAAGTACTACAAGTACTACAAGTACTACAAGTACAAATACTACAAATACTACAAATACTACAAATATTACAAATACCACAAGTTCATGAGCCAACAAAAATAATTAAATTTCAATTATAGCCAATTGAAATCCTTACTCAAGTGTGTTTTTTCCCGGGGAACAACTTTTTGGCACCCAACTTTGAAGAGGCTATAGCTATTGTTGGGGGGAAAGCCTTACACATTATTTGAGATTAAGTGGCATACAATCCCATTCATATCCCATTAATCCATTATATACAAGGTGGTGCCCCATAGTTAGCTAAGTTGGTGAACATAACTCCAATAACTATGGTTTATGGTAGATATATCTATACTTACTATGGTTTATAAATCAACTTCTAACTGGGGGGGGGGGCACAACCTTGTAAACCCCAAATCATTGCCACCTTGCAGAGATTTTGTTTCTCCATCCCCACGGGTCCCGACCTTCAAACAGTCTCTTGATGGACCCGTCCGAAGGGGTGCCCTTCATACGCTCCTGAGCAAATCATCATCCCATCCTACTCCAGTGTCCTCCATGGCGGCTGGGAAATTCCCAGACTAAATGGATCTAAACTTACATAATATAAATAAATATCTATATATAAATATATTATATATACACTATATATATATATACTATATATATAATATATATTATATATATAGTATATTATATGTATATATAATATACAATATATATTATATGTATATATAATATAAATATCTATATATAAATATATTATATACACACTATATATATATACTATATATATAATATATTATATATATACTATATATATAATATATTATATATATAGTATATTATATGTATATATAATATACAATATATATTATATGTATATATAATATAAATATCTATATATAAATATATTATATATACACTATATATATACTATATATATAATATATATTATATATATAGTATATTATATGTATATATAATATACAATATATATTATATGTATATATAATATAAAATATATATATAAATATATTATATATACACTATATATATATACTATATATAATATATATTATATATAGTATATTATATGTATATATAATATACAATATATATTATATGTATATAATATAATATATATATATAAATATATTATATATACACTATATATATACTATATATAATATATATTATATATAGTATATTATATGTATATATAATATACAATATATATTATATGTATATAATATAATATATATATATATATTATATATACACTATATATATATACTATATATAATATATATTATATATATAGTATATTATATGTATATATAATATACAATATATATTATATGTATATATAATATAAAATAAATATATATATATATTATATATATAATTATAAATAATCAAAACACATGCGGTAAATACATGTAAATACGACAAGAAAGAAGATCCGATCAATAAGCAAAAAAAGTTCACTTGACATCATTGTCATTGTCGCCACAGATTTTTGGAATGTCCTGTCCGACCCCCAACGAACTGTTGCTGTTGAAAGGCCTCCACTCTGTCGCAGAGAATCCGATTGAGTTCCTGGTGATTCGACCGAAAAAACCACCTGGGTTAACGGGGAGAACCCCACTGCCCCACTGGCTTTTTGAGGGCTATTTTAACGATGATTTTCCAAGCGGAATTTAGGAAAAGCATGGGGTAGCCTAGTCGCAAACAAAGCCTCAGTTATTCCACCTAGTAGCCTTCAAAAATGCTGAAAAACTTGTTCCTGGTGTGCAAAAGAACGGTCGCAGGTCGCAAAGAAGAAAACAAACTGGAATACGGGTTCGAAGTGTTGAATAATGGGATGGCAATTAATACCAAAAACACCCATTACATTTCATCCCATTATCTACGTAATAATTATACTGATGGCATGTGTCATGTTCAAGCACGCTCATTTTCGCATATCACATCCAATGATCAGGAGGCAATGCATTGTTTCAAACTCACCCAACCATTAGGGAGAACCATCTCCTATCATCTGGAGAAAAAAAAGAGAAACCCACAACATGCCCGATGACAGATGCTCTGCACAAGTTGTGGCTGCTTCGTTTCTGATTGTCAATCACAGTCCATATTTTCATCAATTTTTCCATCAGCATGGCAACGGACATGCAACAAAGATGCAACCCACTCACAGTGAAAACCTACGATTAGTACTACGATTGTCTCAGCTATCATGAGATGGTGGGTGTATATATATATAATAATATATATATATATAGATCTATCTATACCTATAAGGTCGAGCACCCAATGTGAGTTTGTAATAACCCGATCTACTATAACTGTAAAATATTACATACATCTACCATACAAACCACAGTAAACCTAGACAACTTAGCTATCTAGCTCAATCCTCGTGTTGATTTGTTAAATCACCTTAAATCCGTTTCTGGCAAGGGTTAAATCCACATATATCATCATATGAGCAGTTTTCAAAACTCTCTGTCGGTTCATTATACTGCTTGTTTAATTAATAGGGATTTTCCGTTGATGAATTATGATAATCCCCAATTAAATCTTGGTTCGTTTAATTCCCTGTAATGATCATCAACCAACAAGGGCTTTCAGCACCGCTCATACAACAACTAACCACTATCAATCCCTATGTGGATTTAAATCATCTCAAATTCTTGGTCCCATTTCCGGCGTAAAAAGTCATCACCATGAAACTTCCCCATTTCGACCATCAGCTGCATGGTGGAATATGCACACCAGCATTTGCCCGAACAACATCACCCAGTTTTGATGTTTTCTAGGAACCCTCTGGTAATTTAACGTAGCTAGTGAAAATGGCCCATAGAAATAGTTGATTTATGTTGATTTACCCATTAAACATGGTGATTTTCTACAGCTATGTTAGTTTACCAGAGGATAATAGGTAAATATACCAGCACCATGGTTCGCATATGGACTATCCGGCCTGCGCATCATGCTGCGTGAAGGCATCGGTGGTGTCCCACCCGAAGGACCTAACAGTTCGATGGGATTTGTTCACCTACTTGGGGCTGCTGCTTATGGGGGTTTATGTGGTTTAGTTGGGATTTCAACATCAACAATAGGGATTTCATGGGATATAATTTAGGATGAGCCATCATGGATTTTTTTGAACCAACCACAACTATTTGAAGTTATTGATGGGTACAAACATAGTAATCACCTGATAAGTTGGGATATACCAGTTTTTTTCATACACGGCGGACCGCTTGTGTCTGTCAGTCGGTGATGGCAGTGATGGTGTCCCATGAAAAATCGTCGGATTGTCGTGTCGTGGTTAGTAGCTGAAAAACCGCCAATAAAAAACGAGATGCCTGTCAGTTGCGAGTATGATGAATTCTTTTCTAGGGTTGTTCAGATAAAACATGCTTAAAACATTTACTGGTTGGAGGTTTCAACCCCTCTGAAACATATTAGTCAGTTGGATATATAATGATATATATATATATATATATATATGAAAAGTCATAAAGTTCATGTTCCAAACCACCAACCAGTTTAAAAACCACCAACCAGCATCAGCCAGGTCATCACTAATTTGGAGCTTGTTGCCCAGCCCAATCGAACAAGTTCCCAAGTTCCCCCGAGGCGTTGACATGGGAACGATGGGAACGATGGGAATGATGTAATTCTTGACCCCTAAACGGGATGCTTTACCATGGTTTACCACATTACTACTGTTTAGAAAGCAAGTTGATCTGTGTCGGAATCTCTGAAATCAGAACAATCAGAAGATCTGAAGTTTCTTGGTGCCATTCCCAATCCCTTATGGATGGTCTACCTTAGGATATGGATGGCCTAAACTGCCTAAGGAGTCTCCGACATTCCACAATATTAGGCTTTGTTCTGGTAATTACTCTGTAAATCCAAGTGATCATCATCATCTTCGTCATGAAGATAGATTTTTTTTTGCGGGTTTACCGATGCACCATTCTGGGAACCTACATTTTGAACACACCCATGTGACTGATGTGATGACCCAACCATGCCAAGATGCTTCATCAATTCTCTGCAATTCACAGCCTGAGAAGCGTTTTTTTTGGGCGCATGCGCGAAAAGCGCAGCAAAGCGCAACAAAGCGCAGCAAAGCGCAGCAAAGCGCAAATGCAAGCAATGATATCTATCTTAATCTCCCACAGCTAACTCACATTCATCTATGTACCAGTTTTTCAATTTTTTAAAACATCATCCTCATCCTACAACATCCAAAAACAAACAGTCCCCGTGCTGGTCGTATCCCCTCCTACTCGTTCTCGACACTGCGCCTGGTCAGAAGTTTGGAGCTTGTAGAACACATTCTGTAGGGCCTGGCGGGCTTGTGCGTCATGTGATGTCATGTGCCATGGTCAAATCCCAAGATATGCACTGGGAAATTGGCAATAAAAACTACGGGGTTGCTCCAACTCATTATAGATCAATGATGGCCACTGATAAGGGGGGTAAATTTGTCATTTATCTCTTTTTGTTTTACCCAGTTTACTCCCATTGTACCTGTTGGAGCAACCTTGAATTATGGTTTAGATTTCCCAACAAAAAACACTTCATGTACCTTGAAATGTAGGTTTACAATGCTTTCTATACATACAATACACAACCAACAATCACGGGTTAACCCATCATTTACCAGGGTTAGCCAGGGTTAACCCATCATTTACCACCCATCATTTACCAGGGTTAACCAGGGTTAACCCATCATTTACCAGGGTTACCAGGGTTAACGCATCATTTACCAGGGTTAACCAGGGTTAACCCATCATTTACCAGGGTTAACCAGGGTTAACCCATCATTTACCAGGGTTAACCAGGGTTAACCCATCATTTACCAGGGTTAACCAGGGTTAAGCCATCATTTACCAGGGTTAACCAGGGTTAACCCATCATTTACCAGGGTTAACCAGGGTTAACCCATCATTTACCAGGGTTAACCAGGGTTAACCCATCATTTACCAGGGTTAACCAGGGTTAACCCATCATTTACCAGGGTTAACCAGGGTTAACCCATCATTTACCAGGGTTAAACAGGGTTAACCCATCATTTACCAGGGTTAACCAGGGTTAACCCATCATTTACCAGGGTTAACCAGGGTTAACCCATCATTTACCAGGGTTAACCAGGGTTAACCCATCATTTGCCAGGGTTAACCAGGGTTAACCCATCATTTACCGGGTTAAACAGGGTTGACCCATCATTTACCAGAGTTAAGCAGGGTTAACCAGGATTTACCAGGGTTAACCAGGGTTAAACCCATCATTTACCAGGGTTAACCAGGGTTAACCCATCATTTACCTATCATTTCCCAACAAAAACCATGGGCTAAAAACCGCACCCGCTGCCTGGATCAGTTGCGGCGACTTGGTCTCATCGCCGTCATCCTGGAAACCAGGGGATGAAACCATGGGGATCTCACCAAGCTATAGATCTAGAGCTATAGCTGATAGCTATGAATATTTCTAGATGAAACAACTTGGTTAGATCTATTGGAAATTCCGCACCCTGAATGTTGTTTTTGGTTTTGTTCAACTCGGTGGAATCGATAACTCATGGAGGACCAGCTCGTTTAACTTCAACGGTTTTCACTGAACATCCATGGAAGATGATGATCCCCAAGATGGAACAAATCACAACTGAAATGACCATGGCACATGTGGCTGCTGTGAGTCTTCTTAAAAATATGTTTAGAAAAAAACCTGAGATATGATCATTTTATGATCCAATAAATTGTGATCTTATATATATATATATCAACTGAAATGAGCATATTTTCAGGGTGAACATGCTAGAATATGATCAGTCAGGGTGTGGGGTACCCATTTTGTCAAATAAAGCTATGGACAAACCCTGGGGAAGCCCTAACGAACTCTCTATCAATTCTGGATTTTTCATATCTACGTCTATGTTGATTTATTGAGATTGTGTAATATATCATTATTATTATTGTTATTATTGTTATCATTATTAATTATTTATTATTATTAATTATCATTAATTATTATTAATTATTACTAAATGTTATTAATTATATTAATTTATACTGCATACAGTATGGTCCGTTCATAGGGTAGAGTGCCAAATTTATGCCAACATATACCCTTCTTTTCTGAAACAAAATACTTGATTCTAGAAATGATAATATATGATAAATGTGTTTTTAACCTGTATTTTTCTGTGTATATGTCTCTCTCTCTCTCTCAGCGTATATGAGTGGCGGACAAAATGATTTGTTCCCCGTAATTGCCACGGGCAAAACTGGGTCTTTTCTTTTCGGTTGTGACGGTTGTGAAGGCAGCTCTCTGCTACTTTCAAATGCTCAGAATTGTGTGGGATACTCATATATTCCAGTATATATTGGTAAATTATAATATTTCACTAACCTGAATAGTTCGGCCATTTGGGGATGATTTCCCCTAAATAAACCATGATTCCAGGGTTCGCGAGAACAATGAGGTCGTTATAATTTACCCCAGATGATCCATTATATCCCATACTATACCCATAATCTCGGAAATGGTACCACTATATTGTCCAGTTAAAATCACCAATAATCTCCATTCTAGGAGCCTTGAATCTCCATGTTCGATCACCTTAAGATTATTCCATTATCGATTATCCATTATATATATATATATCCCATAATATGCACATTTATAATTTTATAGTGCTTAAAAAATCCTCCAGCAAAATTCCCAGTAATCTCCATTAACAAAAACCGTTTGGGATTATATTTATTTACCCTCTGGTTATTTAACATAGCTATTGAAAATCACCATTTTTAATGGGTAAATCAACTATAAATGGACCATTTTCCATAGCTATGTTAAATAACCAGAGGGTATATAATATTCCATTGTATGTTTTTCGTATACACCTCGTTCAGGATCGCCATGAAACCACCAGGAGATCAACAGTTGGGGAACCATTTCACAAAAAAAAAGCATGTCAAAAAACGGTCAGAAAATCCGGATTTGAAGAATACCACCAATACTAAACTACTAACTAGAATTTTGGATTGATTTTTCAGGAACACTTGATAGGACATCAATGGACATCATATCCTATGTGTTCAATCGAAATGGCAGTATATGTTGGTATGATATGGTATGATATGGTATGATCATGATCTATTTTTACCATTTCTGTCCTTTATCATCACTATAATGATTTCGACAATGCTGCTGCTGGTGATTATGATGCAGAAAACGATTTTTGTGATTTGGCTCCATTCTTGGGGGACGTCCTGGTACCAGGGTTACCAGGAGATACACCAAAGACAAAGCATTATATATATGGGTAAATTACAATAATTCTCTCATGGTGAGTTAATTGATATGTTTCTAAAAATTACAATACATATATTCACAAAATGGTAACATAAATTATATAAATTGATATACCAAATATATCATGGTAACATATATTTACCCATATGGTAATATAAATTATATGGCACACAATGGTAACATAAATTATGTGAGTCCCATATATCTGGTGCCATTTTCGGGATCCGAAGAAATAAACAGCCCCTGCGGCTCTTCGTTCGTCTCTCGACATTTTTGGTCTCTCAACATGGATTTTGTCGCAAGGTCAACTTCCCATTTGTTTCTGGGTATGACCAAATCTAACCATATCCTCTGGTAATTTCAAAAATTTGCGAACTGAAAAATAATAGTGTCTGATAAATCATCTACAAATGGGCTTAAATGGACCATGCTCAATAGCTATGCTCAATTACCGAAGGGTATCTATGAATTTCCTATAGATTTCCCATGGATTTCCCATAGATTTCCCATAGATTTCCCATGGATTTCCCATGGCTTTCCCATAGATTTCCCATGGCTTTCCCATAGATTTCCCATGGCTTTCCCATAGATTTCCCATGGCTTTCCCATAGATTTCCCATGGATTTCCCATAGATTTCCCATGGATTTCCCATAGATTTCCCAAGAAAATCAACCATCGGCGGCCAACATCGACCACTCATCCTGATCCTCTTCACCCTCGATCGCGTACACAATCCTCGCAGGGAAAAAGGGGACCAAATAACCATGGTAGGTTCAGACACTAATGGATATAGATATGTAATGATATGTATATAATTTACACAGACACACACTATACATACAGTATACATACATGACATTACATGACATGACGTGACATGACGTGACGTGACGTGACATGACATGACATAACATTCATATGTATATATATATGGCATATATATGGTATATATATATAGAGAGATACATGGTTATTCTATACAGATTAAGCAACGCATAGCAATACATATTATATAAATATGTGGATTAGTATGGATTATGACCCACTAGGTGATGTGTAATATCCCACATGAATCCACATAACATGTATTGCACTTGGGTCTGCTGAAAGGAGACCACAAATAAAAAATGGTTCCCCAAACTGGTGGATTAGCTACTGGCAGTAGTAATTTAAGCAACATGGTCAGCAAATACCATAACGATGTATGTATATAGTAACTGTCAAATTACTGGAGCGATCGAATCGATGGCCAGAGACTCTTCAGAGGCCATCCTGCGCAACATGGCTTGTAGCAGTCCTGGAATCTTATCAGCCCAATCCGCCTTGGACATGATGTGAAAGCGGCCCACTCCATTGCGAATCAAATTTTGATTCATGGTTCCACTGTCACACCCTTCTTGGACCGCTCCGTTGACCCAGTCCGAAGCCATTTTCATCAGGGCAGCGTCTGCCTGTGTTGCTGCTTCCTTGTTTTTCTCCTCCATGGCCGACTGCTTGGCTGAAATGAAAGAAAAGAACTTGACATAGCTCTCGTGTTCCGACTTCAAAAGATCCAGGAACCTCAGGCATTGAGTTGTGAGATGCATCCGAAGCAAGGATAGCAGACCACATCATTTGAACAGTGGCATTTTTTGTCAGCATGCATCACAGGCAGTGCAGAACCCCCTGAAAATTGTTCTAGATGGTTCGGTTCAAAATCATGTTGATACTTGCCGGAATTGAAACGCAATGGGGTGCACATGTTTCCCATGGTTGAAACAGCCAAAGCACGACTCTGCTGCGCTTGGCTTGGATACGTCCAGAGAAATTTGTCCAGCAACTTGCAGCTGCGACCGAATCAAGGCCGACTTCAGACCCGGAATGAGTTCACTGAAGTAGGGGCCAGCATTGCCGGTACGAGTATATTCTATCAATCACCATTATTAACAATTATTAACCATTATAAGCCATGATTAAACCATAATTATCTGGTTGGTGGTTTCAACCCCTCTGAAAATATGAAAGTCAATGGGAAGAATTATCCCATATATTATGGAAAGTAAAACATGTTCCAAATCGCCAACCAGATTATGTATACACCATACAAACACACCTGGTGTCTATCCCATGTATAACTTGACACAAAACACATCTTCTCAAAGCAACTTTGATGCACGTTCAAATGCCTTGTCTTCTGCCCCAATCCAAACGCTATGATTGGAAATTGGCGCGCAATTTGAATCTTGAATTGTACCCTCTGGTAAACTAACATAGCTATTGAACATGGCCCATAGAAATAGTTGATTTACCCATTAAAAATGGTGGATCTTTCCATAGAAATAGTTGATTTTCCCATTGAAAATGCTGATTTTCCCATTAAACATGGTGGATCTTTCCATAGTTTTTCGTATGTTTGTCAGAGGGGTAGTTGATGGTCGGACCAGCGATTTGCCCCCCCTTTAAGAGACCATGGTTGATCGTCTCGTTGCATTTGTACAGTTTTACCACTAATGTCAACCCCGGATTAATAAACCATGTTTTACTGGTTGGTGGTTTCAACCCCTCTGAAAAATCTTAGTCAGTTGGGATTATTATTCCCAATATATGGAAAGATAAAAACATATTCCAAACCACCAACCAGTTTATTAATTGGGGGGAGTATTCCCCCAATAGTTATGATTTGATACTGAAATGGTACCTTCCCAATTAAACCGCCGTTTGGGGTTTATTAATCCAGGGTTGACATTATTTGGTTTGCTGACCTGCCATCTTTGATAAGCTTTTTGGGGGTGTTCCACTAATCATCAGTGGATCAAACACACCATAGTTGTGGGGGTTATATCCCAAGGTATGGAGATTATTGCCATAGTTATACCGAAATATCCACAAATAACCTCGACTGCACCCATAAGTTCCCTTTTAGATTGGCTGGGGCCGGCTGGGGCACATTACGATAAAAGATCCCAGACTGGAACCAGCATCAATTTATTGTCAGACCTCTTTATGGAGTCTCTACAGTTTATCCATTTATCAAAATAATCTACATATGGGAGGTTTCCTAAAATGGGGCTACTCCTAAATCATCAATCTTAAACAAATTTTGCACTATGAACCATCCATTTTTGGGTGTCACAATTTAAGGAACCCACCTGCTATTATATTATATGTATATATTATGTATATTATGGTTGTTCTAAATTCCTTTATCTGCAAACGGCCATTCTTTGCGAATAAAAGAATTATGTATGTTCGCAAATCTTTCGCGGCGAACCCCATGTTTATCTTTCGCGGGGGTCTCATGTTGAAATCTTTCGCTAAATCGCTCGCCCAAAAAAATACTTTCGCGAACTCAGAAAAAACTTTCGCGGGGTCTCATGTTGAAACTCGGCGGCCTTGGCAATTAAAAACCCTTACATGGACCTTTAGAACGACCCCCTAATATATATATATACATATATATATATACATATATATATATACGTATTTAGATTATATATATATATATATATGTATAGAGTACAAAATACAAAATACTACTTGCGTAAATTGCACCCATCAAAGAAGCCGCAATGGCGATCGATCCACTGAGGCAGCAGCCGTCGGAAGTCACCCAAGTGGAACCTGGGGTGGGCCACCAGGGGTGGTTTGTGACACCGGGTTTTACCACCTTTCTATGACCAAAATATGGCAGTGTGTCAAAACCATAGTACCCCTTTTTTGTTCACATCAAAATAGCTGGGATTTATGGATGTGAATAACCCACTAAAAATGGTATTAATAGGTATTAACTCATAGCCATATGTTAATCATGTGGCAAGTAATGTGGTAAACCCAATAAAGAACCATGGTAAACCATATATACTATCAGTATCTATCAGTAAACCAATATGGTTAATCATGTGGTAAGTAATGTGAACCCAATCCAGAACCTTGGTAAAGCAATTAAATGAACCTCCCTGAAGAGGGATGCTTTTATTATCAACCACAGTGCTGCGTTTGAACATCTTGCCTGAGTATGTGCACACTCAACGCACGGAAATGTGTAATCACATTCAAAGATATCGTCGCTCTGCGAGCTTTGCGACATGCTTTAGATTTCAACCTTTGAAAGGCGTATCGAGTTCCTCTGATAAGTGAATCACTGTTTCTTCAGCGTATCCATACACATTGCACCATAAAATCATGGCTAATCAATTTACATCGATTTACCAAAACACTCAAAGTATCCATTTTCTTTCAAAGTACAAACATTTTCGGAGCAACGGTAAAGTCCCAGGTTTTATCGACTCATTGAGGTCAGAACAAGCTCTGAAGCAAGCCGTTCATGTAGCCTCAAGACTGAATTTGTCAGAGGGGGAGGGGTTGCTTTTTATATGGTACGTTTTGGCTAATAACCACATTAGCAACCACAAAAAAGCAAAGAGAAAACGGGATGATGAAGACAACTTAGCGGTTTCTGTCTACTTTTCTAAGCTGGTTGGGGGTTACTATATGTGTATATATGTATCTGATTAGTGGTTTCAACCCCTCTGAAAAATATTCGTCAGTTGGGATGATGAAATTCCCAACTGAATGGAAAGTCATAAACCACAATCACTATTGTTTGACAGACCTGACATGACCGATGAATGTCGGAAAAATTACCTCTCCAGAGCTCCTCCTGGTGATCGATATCATCCGACAATGAAACATGGGGGAAATCCCGTAGAAATCCCGTAGAAATGTCGGACATTTCGTGGGAATAAATGGTGGGACAATATCTGTAGTGTTAGTGACTTAAATCCGACTATTGGAATATTGGAACATCATCGAGCTTCGTGTCGTAAAGGGTGGATTTTCCCGCCAAGTTTGATTTCTGGAAGGCTTGGGAAATTTTAAGGTCACCAACAAGCAAGCCTGATTCTATCACTTGAGCCTATTTAGGACATGTTGTCAACAGGGAAAAAACAACTGTGTTTGTGATTGTCAAGTTTAAGGCTACACACCCTTTTAAAGGTAACCCTCCAACAATTATCAACCATTCTTGAGCTTAAGAAGCCTCATCCCAGCCAGATATGTTTTGCTTCACTACGCTACGCTCCCGAAAAAGTCATGGTACCCAGTCACACCAAAACAGCTGGGATTCATGGATGTTTTTTTCGATGATCATCCCGGCCAGATATGGTACAGGTCTTACTGTACTCCAGCCCCATTCTTGTTATCAGCATCCCGATGTTTGCGGCGATGATATTTGAGTGATAGGGGGACTTAAGCAATACAATTCATTAGTGAATGGTAGTACATTGAATACTTGCGCTGTACAATGTTGGTCTGTAGTAAGTTTGGCTAAATGTCATCCAAATATTCCAGATGAATATTGCTAGCGGTACATATAAGAGATACTGGAAATACAAGCCCTAAGTGCAGTAATTATATGTAAATATCATATGGTTGGGATACTCGACTCGTAGCTCCGAGCTGGATCCTGATTTTTTTCGACGGAAATTTATGGCTCTATAAAAAGCACTTCCTTCATTCACCACCAAATTAATCATTATTCATTGGATAAATATGGATAAATCCCAATTTTTGATGATGAAGTCACCAGACAATTGTCATGCTGGATACATGGGATATGATACGGCTAATTAATCTCTGATTAAGTGGATCACAATATATCATAATAATCACATTAAACCATAAATTCCGATATGTTCCATAAATTTAATCCCCGCATGTTTCCATAAATCTCAAAAATATGCCATAAATCCTCCAGCTGAACACCTGGATCTGCTGTTGATCCAACGCTGCCCAATGCTGCCCAGCAACAGGTAGCTCCATGGTTCTTCAAACCCGTGTAGCCAGTCTCCTGGGGCGTCAGAAATCATGGAAAACACAGGTCACTGGCTGGCAGGTCACTGGGATATCTGGCATAGATCAGAGATTTGCATAGATTTGCCATGTTGGTTTTCTGTAAAATCAATGATAACTTTGTATCTTCATGCAGACATGCATTTAAAAATACATACTAACACACACACAAAAAGATCTATATATCTTTTCTTATATTCTTTTCTTATCATGTTGTGCAATCAAATTCCGAATTGACATGCTACATTTTGAGATGGGGGTGCCGTGGTGAACTTACAGTGGAGAATGGGAAAACCTTGCGCATGGCTTCTGAGCATCCGCAGCACCTGATGATAAAACATTTAATCTGAGGCTGCTCGGGCAATCAAGTGTGGCCCACCATGTTTCATGACCGGAGGGCAGGTGTTAGGTGATCAATTTAGTCAACATTCCTGATGATGGGTCTAGCCCTTGTTGAAGCGATCCACTTCTCCGTTTTTTTGTACAAAAAAACCCACCGCTCCACCAGTTTTTTCGGGAGTGGGCAGCTTCACCGACATGAGATCAACCTGTATCCACCACTCTTTTTGGTCGTTCTGGCTGAAAAACAATCGTTGAGCAGTGTGAAATAAATCCCTCTATCATTCCATCTGGGTAAATTAAAATATTTCACTAACCTGAATTAAGGCCATTTGGGGATGATTTCCCTTACTAACCATGATTTCCAGTGAGGTCGCAGTGAGGTCGTTATAATTTACCCAGAACAATAGTTGAGCAGTGTGAAATAAATCCCTCTATCATTCCATTTAATCCTGGTGACCTAAGCACGGGATTCCCCGTTCTGAAAACTATGAAATACCCTCTGGTGAACTAACATAACTATGGAAAATCACCATCTTTAATGGGTAAATCATCTGTTTCTATGGCCATTTTCAATAGCAAACTGTTAAATTACCAGAGGGCCAGAGGGTATATATGAAGGGTAGTTTTTTTATCCCCCAACTAATCATCAACCAACCAGGGTAGATCGCAGCCACTGCGCTGTTCTCAAACGGCAGTCCGGGTGACTCGGGATTTTTGTGTCATGACTTTTTTCATCCAGATATCCCCATGAATATCCCATGATCTCAGCAGTTTACCACCATATCCACCATGTTTGTTGCTGAAACATCACCATTCATCACCATCTTTCCGAATTGCTTTCCGATCTGCCCACCAGAAATCCTATGCCTCGCCATGATGAGATCATCCCCCGTCTCGTTGCGCTCTCGTTGCGGCTCCTTCTTGCAGTTGTACTCGTTGGTCAGATTCAGTTGGTCAGCGGAACGCACGTAGCCTGAGCTCGATAAGGTGCCATTATAGAAACCAGTTCTGTGGTACTTGGTGGCTCATCCCACGGCTCGTAAGTGGGTTATAACCCCAGTGATTTACATGGGATAAGTAGGGTTAATCCACTTATAATTGGGGTTATAACCCACTTACTAAGTGGGATGAGCCACCAAGTATCATTTGAACAAACCACAGAAACACTACGAACGTCATTTGATATAAGATAGAAACTGGATACAAACTGATGTAGTACCGGCTTCTCAAAATTTGAACACTAGAAATTGACACAGTATTGGTCGGCATGATGTACAGTAACAGATATTGCGTAGTCATATGCCTCAATCCAACTATGATCATACCTATATGCACAATCGAATACAACTAGACCTCATGCAAATCTGCACAGAGGTGAAACCTGCACTAAACAACACCAGACACATCGGTCACATTGTCATGGTCAATCTTCTATACCCTGCCATGAATGCAATGCGAATAAAACATGGCAAACTATCACAGGACGACAGCACATACCCTGTGATAGCTTCACATAGCTATGGAAAGTGGATGGAAATGGATGAACATAGATGAACATGGCACAGTTTTCATATGTTATAGTAAAGACCATTGCCTCTACAAGGTGGTGCCCCATAGTTAGCTAACTTGGTTTCAAACTCCAATAACTATGGTTTATGGTAGATATATCGAACTACTTACTATGGTTTATAAACCAACGTTCAGGGGGGCACAACCTTGCAAGAAATGCTGATGTAAACCACGATTTTCCATAGCAAATTCTAGCCCCTGGGATCATCCCAGGATGGCAAAAAAGACAGGGCTCTGCTGATGTGTTTTCAACCCATTTTCGTCCTGGACATGGATTGTCATGGCGGATCCACCAACGCTGGATGTTTTTTCAGAAATGTGTTTTTTCGCCACGAAAAAAACAGTATGATATGATAACTAATGGATATTAATGGTTAATGGATATTAATGGATATTAATTCATGATATTAATGGTATGATATGATATGAAATCTAGCTGAATATGATTTCAGTCACAAAAAGTCACTCTTCGGTTTTAACACATCACTCAATGCTCGTTTCTCCATGATCGTTTTCTTGCGGACAATCCCTTCCCCCTTGAATCATCACAAAACCACCAACGGTAATTACCATCAATAAAGTACTGAATAATATCATTGACTGAAAAACACCAATCAACATGAATATCAAAATGAACATCCAACTAGACGTTGATTCCACTCTAATCAAGCGGTTTATTACCCTTTTGAAGCTACACATTGGCATGACGAAATCGTGGAGAACCTCCTGGACCTCGCTGGGTGGAACCCGCATGAAGCACGAAAGTACAAGGTGTTTTGTGGCCCAAGCCTCAGGCAAAACGTCGCCAGTGGCGGTAGAGAAAGGCCATCAAAAAAAAGAACGATTTGGTGAGGATCTTTTTTTGGGTGGGATGTATTGAAAATATCTTAGTATTGTTGATTATATGTATATATATATATAGATATAGGGAACTATCAAGAAATGCTACAGTAGGATTACGCATATATGTGTCACGGTCACGACGGTCACGACATAGGTTAGATTCCCATCAAGGGATGAATGACGAGAAACCATATACCATCTTTTGACCCTAGCATATATATACCTTAAGAATCAGTACCTTCTCAAATTTACAGGTATGAAAAATAACCGGGTTATTTATACCAAAACCGGGTTATTGAATATCTCATAATCATAAGAAATCAAAGATCCATGAGTTATTGAAAATCTCTCTCATAATCATAAGAAATCAAAGATCCATGATGTTGTGGCAGCTGTGGATGACCCATTGGCTCAATTCCTGGGCCCCTGCACCATGCTCCTGCCAGACGCTCAGTTTTCACGGAGTTGACTTAAGAGATCAAATACCCTGCCCGAACAAACTCCTGCTTTGCAGAAAGGAGGTAACGCATCAAGACCCTTTGGACCACATTTGATGCATGGGTCCTTCTCGACACCCGTGAACTTTTTCCTATGAAATCTTCATCCATCTGGGTTCCCCAGGCCAGAGGATGAATGATGTAACGCTTGTTGTGGGATCCTTTGAGTAAATCCACTAAAAAAATATGTTGCAGAACATGTGCCTTAGGCATAAAAATATACAGGCTGCGACCCTGATCATGGCACATACAAGCTAATTGATGGTAAAGTCGAAGGAATTCGACACCAAGGGTTCCAATTTCAGCTGCCATACTTGATGGCAACCAGAAGTCATCCACGCTATACAATTTGCTCATGCATTTGTTTGCAACCTGTGCAGCCACCCGCGTTTTCAAAAAAACGGGATCATCACTTTGAACGTTGCTGCTCCAAGATTCAAACCATTTAAAGAGCACTGTGGTAGCAGAACCTTTTGACCATATCCCTTTGGGAAAATCAGAGGTAGTGGTCCATGAGATCGATTCTTTGTTGATGTTGGTCAGGTATGGCACCTCACCATTTTCTTTGCACCAACCCCGAAAAGCTGCAGTGAGATTGGAGAAACGGATATCCACTGTCCCACCAGGAAAGTAAGTAGAAGCCAAAGCCAGCGCACTTCCTAAGAAGTGTTTTCCAAGTCCTAAATGAAACGAGTGCCAGATGTCATACTGGAAGAGTCGCTCCAATTGCCCATCAACATGAGGAACACCAGCAAACTCAGGTAACTTCCAAAACGGACTTTCCTCCCCAATGCTGTCCAGCCATCTAGGTGATTGAGAACCAATTTGTTCAAAGGGGTAAGGACCCTGTCCCGCAGAACATAAATGGCAAATCCCTCTGCACCAAACTGGTTGTGGTCCCTTGGTTGGTGGAATCCTCTTTGGAAGGCAAGCAAAGTTCCTTTCAAGGCGCCCAACTTTGGCCAAAAAAGGCCAATCCCCATGAATGCCAATGAGGCAAGCATGGACCCTTCCACGCTTCTCAACCTCCACCCCGTGTCGACACATGTAGTCGGCTTCAGCAGCAGCAAACGAAAACAATGCGTCCACATTTTCATCATCTTTGAAGTAGAGATGTTTTGGCAATACCCCACAAAGAAAACGATTAGTGTGAACATGGCCAATGTAGTTCAACTTCTGCTTGAGGTACGGTCTATGAGCTGAAACTTTGGTTTGTTCTCTCTTGGCAGGTCTCAATCCACGTCCAAGACAGCTATGAAACTGGCTCACAAAGAATTGTTGTTTCCGCCTCCCTCTACCCTCGTCTCCATGGTAGATGAGTCCAATTGTGTCCTCTAGTTTTAGAAGACCTTTCCGCTCCAGAGAAAAAATTTCATGATCACTGTTGGACTCCCTGAATTTTTCCCAAAATGATTTCCAGATAGCTCTTTCACGATCAAGGTCTGCACGCACTAAGCCTGCTAAGATGTGCAAACAGTTTCTCTCAGCCAGATGTTGAATCCAGTCTCGCAATCGTAGAGCATGAAAAGGTTTCCCACGTTGATCCCTCGAATTTGGAACCAGTGTGAGTGGAATGGGCATGTCCAACTTGTGCTTTTTGAATTGAGTATGCGCACTCCTTTCCTCATTGCCAACAGCAGTCTGAGCAAACCGAACTAAACCACCAGAAGCTGATGCAGCTTGTTGTCCAACATCAGCCACCATATTTTTGGCAGTCCGAACTGCTGCTGCACATGAAGCCTCATTTGCTGATGACACACACGCAGAACGAACTAGTGTTCGATCAAGGTGATCCATGATAATCTTTTGAATATGATCAACTTACGAGATGTGAAAAACATCATCAAAGGATGTGGAATGTCTATATGCTATGATAGGCCCACCTATGGTTTAACCACGCGTGCTCAGCCACTTTCACTCAAACCTGCTGAGGTTGGAACTCCATTGCCGATGTCGGATGCAAAACCACGGAGAACTTTGCCAGCAGGCTGACCTGGCACACAGTCAGATGAATCATGATCCAACAATGTTCCTTGTTGATCAGCAAAAGAACGAACGGTTGAATCCAACGCATGTATGCTATTTTTTCCCATGTTTGCTTTGAGCTTCGGAAAGCATGGTCAGCACCACGCGTGTCCCCCATGAAACAAAAGATTGTGAAGCCAACTGGGTGGATGGATCAACATCAATGACAATTTCATTTTTTTCAAGCTAGCACATGTATCATACAAGATTGAAGATAAACGATTATGACGCTCAACTTCCACCTTTGGAATCAGGTTTTGATTTGATCTAAGTGGCTTCAACCCCATGGTATATACTGCCATGTCATGTCGCAGGATTTCCCACGACATTCCAAAATCAGAAACGCATCACGAGGCCCTACGTTTGGAAGGCTTGGATTTCGCAGCCCTGGCCTTGGCCTTAGCCTTTGGATCTGGTGAAACAGCTGCATCAGGAGTGGTAGTACGACGGGGAACTTTGGGTGGAGGGGCTTCAAGAGACTCATCCCCCTGCCTTTTCTTAAGATACTTCTTCTGCAACCTGCACCAAGAAAGGTTGCATGACATATGTTGCAGCCATGTTACAATCAACAATCAAGGCTAAGAACACCAATGGAAATTTTCTAAATGATCGATCCAGCCTGAACTTGGCTTCAAAGGCAGCCGCTTTGCTGGACCTTGATGCTAACTCAGGCTATTTGACTTGAAATTTATTTCATGATAGATTGATGGATGGCCACTGTCATCATTAATGAATCATGGTTGGTTTACGTCGCAGCCAACGACAGCAGCACTTACTGGGTCAATCTTGGAATCCAACACCGTGGTTGTTTTTCGCATCTTCGGCTCCGCTTTGGCCCAAAACCTGGGCATGCAGGAGGAACAAGTCAATGGGATATTGGTTTGGGAGTAAACTTCTGAAGCCTAGTAACGCTTCACCAAAGCCATCAAGATCACCAGTTGAGAAGATTTCATTCAAGACATCATATTCCAGGTCCAAGCTTTTGATGTGGGTCTCAATCTGCTTCAAACACCTGAGCATGTATGGCTTAGAGGCCGAAGAACACATCAAATGCTTATTGGCCGCAATGTTGAATCAATGGTTGCAATCTTTGCAGTTAATGGTCATTAACTTAAAAATGATTATCTATCAAGAACCAATGAATTGCAATAGGCAAGCTAGTAAGTAAATGATATTGCCATCAAGTCGAATTCAATCATATTCCATGATGGGCGTTGAGGTCAGCACTCTGCCACTTTGGAATCAGCTGGATCGAACTTATCAGTAAGCTCATTCTGAATCCCACGAAGCTTGCAAGTCTTTTGCAGAACACTGTCCATGAACTTGGTGTAGCGGGTCTTGTAATCCTCCAGAAAGCTGGAAAACATGTTCAAACATGAGTTGAATTGAATGAACTAAGATAAGATAACCAAAGATGAATTTCAGTGATGTGTTTTCTTTCCCACCTTCGAAGCCTCGGAATGTTGATCCCCCTTGTCACCATCCGGCTTGGACGATGCGCTCGCAGCAAGGTGCCTTTCCTCCATGGCTGCAAGCCCCTGAAAGGCGCCCTCCGGAATTGCAACACCTTCATCCTAGCATGGGCTGGGTTAGCTAGAAGGTAAAGGGGTGGAACATCACAATATGTATGAAACATCTAGGCACCTCTTTCAATTGCTCACGTTTGTTACGGATCTCCGTCTCGCTTTGTTTCTCACTTCGCTGGCCCTTCTCACGTAGTTGGACCCAAAACTCCTGGATCCCATCGTATTTGTTTTTCCTGCCAGCAAAGTTGATTCATCAAGTCAATGAAGTGCATTGGATAAAGGACGGTTGTAACTTACCACAAAATGCTGACTCGTATTGACGGTAAATGATTTCAAAGCTACTGGGCTTCAAGAAGGAAACCTAAGATGATGAAACCAAACCATTTGCATACTAACATGCACTGAATGATATTAGATGGTGAGTAAAACCTGGCCTTACGCAAGAAGGCATTTTCTCGCACGCAGCAATTGCTCCCTGGATTCTTTTCCTGGGCATTTGGTGGAATATGAATTTTACAACCCATCATGATGGTAATTACCCAGACTGACATGTTTACTGCACGAAAACATAATTTCGAACCTAGATTCTTGTTCCAATGGAGTTCAGAGACCATTTCCTGCTCTGAATACCAACCCTCCTCGATCGTGACCTCAACGGTCCTCTCCTTCTTGATTTGCACCTCAAGTTGCTTGAGGAAGATGTCCTGCGCTGGAAGCAGATAGGCCTGAGGGTAGGGGGATGGATGATATCATACTATCAATCATGAGGGATGCTCTTAACCATTGATACATGTCATATAGCAGGCTCATAGGCTAGCATTATGCAAACAGCGGTTGATAGGAAGAATGAAACACTGTCCTTTTGGAAATTCGCATTCTTCAACAACTCTGCCATCTC